GCCCAACCCTGGTACTATTACCGCGCCACCATACTTACGAACACATCCCTGTATTTTTTTTCTCTTGCACGTATATTCTCACACACAACATCCTTTTTGCCATTTCTATCCGTGAACTTCCTGTGAACGTGAATAGAAGCTCTTTGTTTAGTTCTGCCTCCATCATTCTGTTGGTTGGTACACTGGACGGTACGCATGCTTTTGTGGTACAACTAGTTTTGCCAAGCACTCAAGAGGACATGCCATGAAGAAACGTGTACTAGATATATATCATTGATCTACGTGTGATCTATGGATGATCTATCCGGCATGCATGCGAATCCACCTGTGGCCTGCAATTCCATTGCGCAATTCCGTGTAGTCAACAGCACTTGTATTATGTATATATGCTGTACTATTGACATTACCAATGATTCATGTACTGTATTGTGTTGTTATGACATAACAAGACCATAAATGCCTTTAACCATATGTATATGGATCAGGAAGATGACGACTGTAAGAATAAAAATGGAGTGTCAAGATTTTGTTATAGGATTTATTAATACTCAGCTTGTCCATAAATCGTGAGTATTTCTGTCTTGGTCCTATTTAGAAGAATTTAACATTTTCTTTAGCCCAGACATCTTTCCTGATGTCTTGTGGTTCAAGAGACTTTAGACAGCATACGTAGTACCTAACTACATACCAGAGTACTATACTACACACAAGGGCATGTAACGTGCATTCAAGTATGAATAGATCCATGAATAATGGCTTGAATGTTCACAAGTGCCTACAGCAGCCAGATTGGAGAGTGACCGGAGCCCTTTGACTTGAACCACGAGCGATTTCCGATCAAGAGTTAACCTACAAATTTATAGAGAAATTGCCAGTCTGCAATTGACGGAAAGACGCAAATCATACAAATAATCTACAAGCTATCGTGACAATTTATAACAGAGAGGCTGATGATCTTGTGTAATATTATACGTGGTAAACAAGATTAAATCCATTACTGATCAATCACAGAGATACATTTTTCGAATGCTTTTATATGCTTGGCGTAAGTAACAATCACAGACCTACCTCAAATGTCAGTCCCTGGTAGTAATATGTTACTGTCGTTATTCAACACTGACGTAGTTTCAATGAATCGTAACCTGACAGTTGTGAAAGGGCTGGTGCAACGTCCGATTCGTATTCCTGACTCCTATCAAAGACTATGAATGGCGATCCCGGTGTGAACGTAGGTTAAGGTCGGCCGGTTTAGCCGTTAGTCGTCTAGTCGTACTTGCGTCTGTGGTTCTGTGCTTGTTTGTAACGATACAGGTTATGGTCGACGCTTGACTGGTAGTCAGGTAAGAATATGGGCTTGGATTGCAAGAGAATCCGCTATTCCTTTGACACGTGCTGATTTATTATCTCGGCATCGTTCGCCGTAATCTTTATGAGTCGAGCAAGGTATTTATATGCAATCAAATGTATGACAATTTGTTTACATTATCATAACAGATTTTCAATCTCGTTTGCGTCCGATAGCCAAAAAATGCAAGAGAAATTATCATACAATAAATAACACTGTTAACCTAAGTTTTAATTGCTAATTTGATTATGGCTGTACGAGCTATTCTTTATCGAAGGTTATACACGCGTGCTGTCATTTTTTTTCAATTATCCTTGAGCTATCTTTACGTGGAGCATACGTCGCTTATAGGTTATCAGGTTAGCGTTGAAAAATAATAAAGTTGAACTTATTCTAGCCAAGAGATCATTGACTGAGAGTCGTCACTGTTTGCATGGCTTCATTGTATGTCTGACTGTCTTGACTGTTTATACCATCTGCGAGAGTAATGGATACGAAGATTATATTTCTCGTGAAACGTAATCTCCTTGCATTCCAAGAGACGTGTACTGAAGTCATGAAATCAATTAGTGCTCTTGTTCGTGCGTAATAAAAAAGAGAAAGATCATTAAAGAACGTTTTCTTCGTATAACCTAAAAAGCCGTGTAATATTTTGTTGGATCAAATGATGCGAAATTATAACCATTTAGTAATAACAAGATTATTTCAGTGAGTCTGTACGCGATAACTTTCACGGTACCACCTAACCTAACATCGTCTTTAAATTGACTTTGATGCGTCCTAGAAAATTTTTCATTATTCAAAATGGCTGCTGCCCCTACGTAAACTGAAATTTTGCACTCTGATGCCACAGGGTACGTGAATATAGTATATGTCGCGTGACTATTGCAGTTGCGGTAGCCAATTAGCAACAAGGATTATGGCGAAGTTGTTCAGGGCGAAGCCTACGAAAATGGTTTAGGTTACGTTTCCATCGATTTATACCAACTGTAAAACAGTCTGTAGGCTGAGCAACGTCGCCCAGAAGGAGTTCGTCGAACTTTCTCGCTGAACAGTCGCGTATATGGTGAGTTAAGTCTCGCGTGGACATTCACGGGACGTCCGTGGGACATTGTAAAATTTTTAAGACAAATTTTCAGATTTGGGTTTCGACCACTATAAAGTTACATTGTCAATTTCTAAAAAAAAAATGATTACTTAATCAGTGTCTACTTTATTTTCCCAAGCTGGTTTAAATGTCGAGGTAAAATATTTTTTGGAAAATTTAAACAAAAATTACAAACGCAATTCCTCAATGTCTAACATATATATTTTCAACAACCGAATCATCTGCAGCGACGTCTACTACAATTTTTCTGAATATAATTATCCTAATATTATACACAAACACCAGTCGATAATCAATTCCCAATATTTCTTCTCCATTACTCAAAATGGTCTGGCTTAAGGTCGCCTGCCTAATTCGCCTACGAAATTTTTTATTACTTTTATGCGTCCATAAATTATGTCTAATTGGACGGTTCGGTGCTTCTGAATAATTATTTGAAAAATTGTCAAAGATAGTTAGCAACATTTTAATTGACGTATAATAATAATATTAATGGTAATGACTCTCAGTACAGGCAAGAGTGGTATCTGTCTAGTATATTACTTTGAAAGTAACCATAAGAGCCGATGTACTAATTGAAGAGAAATACGTTATGGATGTACTTAATTATACAAGCAAGTACACTTGTACCAATGTGTACTTACAATTAGATACCGATGGAATTGTGACCTTTAACGAGTAGCCAATCGAAGGACCGTTGAGTAACGTACGTGCAACGAATTCTATCCTGAGTAGAAGTACTCTGGCTGCTCTCCGTACTATGGGAAAACGAAAGTACTTGGGCGTAGAGACAAGTATACAAAATGCGGTCAAGGACGTGCGAATTGGATATCGACGTCAATCATGGGTCTCGTTTAGTAATAATTTTTCTTAGAGATTTTTACAAAAAATGTTGACAAAAAACCTTGGGTAATTCGTCCACTTGTTACCTTGTAATTTGAACTAAAATTGAGAATGCTTAAGACCGATGTGTCAATTCTTAATGTTAAACTGGCTTATCATATAGTATAGATACGAATAGGGAAAATAAATTTTGATAGTAAATTTATAGTTTATAACAAATTTCATGTATGCATGTAAAATTAATAGGATATTGTATGATTTTCTCAAAATTGTCTCAGAAACCCAAAAATTTGGATATATATTCTTAGTGAATTTTTGGAATATCCTGATACATAACCTCCAATATTTGTAGTATATACTTTATTTGGATACTTTTTATGTCATGCTTGTATTCTTAGAACGTTGTGAGTATATTATTTTGTTATTTAGGTAATTTCATAAATTCATACATAAATATAACAATGGGATGCTGTGAGTTTGTAGAATTTTATGGAACTCCTTAAAATTGGGTATAACAGCTCTTGGTATATAATATATTGTGGTATTGTGGTACCTAAGGTATAATATATGAAAGTTCGGATGATACGAGGTTGCACGTTTACAATTATTCATAAATCAATGTTTAATTGACGAAATCGATGGATTCTCAATTTCGCCGCGACGAGGGGGATTTGACGGAGGCTCCACCGAGAAACTAACAAGTAAATTCGCAACTCTCGAGGACAAGGATGGGAGGAGTAGGTATTCTATTCCTGGCGATCGATCGAGACGAGGTCGTTGGTTTCTGACGGTGGATATTCATGAAATTCCAGCATCAAATAATGGAAAAGGTCCCTACTGAAAAGTGGAATGGTTATGAAATCAATAAAAAAGACAACAAAATTGTTGAAGAGGATGAAAATTATTAAAAATAAATTTTTAATTAAAAAAAATTTCTTTTTATCAATGCAACCTTTGCAGGTTAGGTGATGGAGAAGAGGAAAATTTATAAGTGGAAGAATCTTACTTGGAAGTCTGACAAAATAGCATTGATTATTTTTCATATACTTTGCGTGTGCACGAGTTAGCTGCGACTGTCGCTACATGTGTACAGTGCCTTCTCGATTATCTTTACTGACTCACTCTGCCAGGATTGTCTTCCTCTTCGTTCTGTCGCAAGAAAGGGAAAACATGCAAGAAAAAAATGTAAAAAAATATCCTAATTCGCGTTTCTTTCTCGCTTAAGAATCGATATGTACTCCATTAACCAGTCGCAGTCACGTAAAAGAATTTTATTCGGTTTTCGATTTTGAATTTCCCGCCGAATAAGAAATCGTTACGTAAGTACGCCGTATCCGACGTGCTTTAGGCGTAAATCACGCGGAATATATACTCACTCGATAGCGTCAATATGTAAATTTGACGTAAGCAATATTTACGTATGATTATATAAAACTTGAAAATATTACCAATTTGTAGATTAGGATCATTGAAGTTTATACCAAAGTCAAAGTTTCTACGTCTGGTAAAGCAGCGGCGTGAGACGAGACTCGACGCGACATTTTTCGCGGGACTAATTCCACGTCGATTTAGAAACGGGAACTGTACGATGGGAATTGTCAGATTGTCGTATGGCTTCTGTACCATCCGTTCCGTTTCACTGTCTACCGTGACCGTTTCCGTTCCGTTCCGGTCCCGGATGTCAGTGACCGGAAAAATAAGTTATAGCCACGATTATCAACCGCACTTTGTATCCTTCTAGAAACACGTACGCATATACAGATGTTGTGATAAACTATTAAAGAAACCTCTGTTAGTTCGTACGACTCAATGTAAATCCCCAGGCTGTGTAAATAGTTGAGAAATGGCAAAATCCCCAGGACAAACGGAATTCGAAGAAATATTACATTTTTTCAAGACCTTCGTCTATCATACGTGCCAGAGAATTAATTCCGGCAGTTCGTCTCGTCGTCACTCTGATTCGCCCGTCTGCAGAACGACGACTGGAATTGAATACAAGAACAAAATCACCAAGCGTGTCATTCAACGTAGCCAGCACGTAAGTTAGTTCAGCGAGACACAGAGGGATTGAATAAGTTCAAAAGAAGACTGTGCCAATAAATAATAATAATTACAGAAAAAGAAAAGAGGATCCGTACCAAGAGAATTCACTCAGCAACCAGTCAAACTGTTCAGCGATGCATCGTACCTAAATATTAATCCTTCCTTTGATCCTGCACGCGTACCACTGTTGTGACATTGAAAAGAATGTACACTGGTCCAGATAACGAGCTCGTGTCACTAATTATCGTTCGCTCGGTAAATTTTCCTATTTGGGTACAGTGAACAATAACTAGGTAGACATCAGTCACGTGTCACTGTAAAAAAAGGACGCTATTGTCACAACAGTGTCAACGACGTATAACGACATATACGCCTGCAGTTTCAACAGAATTCTATCGAAATTCCTATAATTGCTGCTACAATTCCAAGTGACTGCTTCGTAGATTTGCTCTCTTGGTCCATGTTGTAATCTGCAGCTGCAATTGCAAACCCGTGCTGGACCTTGTGTATATACAGTCGATGCAGATCTATGGATCACCGAGGAGGTAAGGAAAGAATAATAGATCGTCATGACGATTTAGAACATAACAATGATTTAATGACAGTTATGTATACAAGTTGAGTCGTGATGCTGGGAAGTCTGAAGGGGATGATCATCTTCGTGACGCCGGGTTAGAGTTCACTGATACAAGCGCCTATCATAAGAAAAGTACATTTTGATTTTTTCTTCTAATCATTATTTACTGTCAGATCGATGAAAAAATTATTTTCATTTTTTTTTCTTCTTCTTCTCTGCACTACTTTTATTTTGTTCTTTGTTCCTTCGTCGGCTCCTCTTTTGTCAAAAGCAATTCCGGGATTCAACGAGAGTGAGAGTCATTGATAGGAAGAACCCGGATAGATCATTTTACCCGCTATAGATCATTTTATAAGCTGAAGAACGGACTTAATGATTTTTACAGCAGAAAGAAGATTTTTGGAATTAAATTGTTCAGCGATTACGTATAAACATACACCGAGGTGCGATCGATTATTGAAAATTTGCCTGAGCGTTATTTATGCGACTTGATGAAAAATTGTAATGATCGAACAAGCGATGCGCGCCAAGAGAAGAAAAAAAATTGAGGAACAGAGAACAAAAGGTGCGCGGTGATACATCAATGACTGATGACGTAATCGGATTCAGTTTGTCCTTTGTGCTTTATATTTCGGATGATTTTTATTCAACGTTACATAATGACTAGTGATATATAAGAGCCAAAGAAACAGTAGAAAAGAATCGATACGACGATGCGACGATCTGACGGTTTATAAAAAAAAATTTTTTGATCGAAAAGCAAAAAAAAACTTGCAAATACGAGACACTAGGGTAATCAGTTGATAATTGGGAATTTTTGCGAAACGAAGATGATCGTCAACCACAATGACGATACAATTAAGTTATCAATATCGTTACAGTTATCGTATTGTATACATAAATAGGTTTATCTATCGATCGTAAGCGCGAGATAAAATATCGAAAGATAATAATAATAATAATAATAATAATTAAGAAAAACACAACAAGGGCAAGTATAGTTGTACAATAGAATTTTGAACGACAGTCGATATAAAAACAACAATTATATTCGTAAGTTAATTCATATTATATATCTATGGAAACGATCCGGGCGCTTGAGGAACCGGAAGACGAATAATAGTAATATAGGCAGAGTCATTTCCGGTCACCGAAAACCTTTTTTCCTTTTTTAATTTAGGCCGAAGGACGTCTCGGTGAAGAAGGTGACTGAACGATTGCGCATGCGCACGAAAATTTCTTTGGAGGTTATTTCAATTTCCCCTTCTCCCCCCCCCTCACCTCATTTCTTCTTCTTTTATCTCCAACGAAAGTCAAAGACACAATTGTTGCGGTAAACAGTGTAAATAGACATTCGTCCGATTCGCAAGCGCCAAAACATTTAATCGCCTAACGGCTACTTTGACTCTGTGGTTCAATAGAGACACGCAGAAACTTATTTTTTATTTTTTTCTTGAATTACACTCTTTTTATTCTTGTATTTACAGATTCACGCTTCGTTCTTGCCTGTTTATCTTATTATTTCTTTTTTATTAATTCTCAGGTCGACTAGCATCGTCACTCGTTATACAATTGACGAGTTTCGCGTACGAGGAAAAATTCGGTGGGAATCGATAAGAGGAAGCCTCAAAATTTGACTTTCCCTGGTTCGATAGTATTCGTTTACTTTTTTTTTTCTTTAATATTTACGTTATTGACATTTCATTTTTTTTTTATTACCTACTGTATCCCATTTAACATTCTTCCTCTAATAATTTTACCCAATCGGTTTCTTAATATTGACCTTTGTTCGTCACTATTATTATTATTTAAGTCTCATTTACCAAACGTATCGTTTTTTTCTTTCTTCTTAGTTTCGATCATTAAATTTCCCTGACAGTTATCCTTCAACATTTTTATAAGACTTAATTGGTACACGTTAATCTTCTCTTTCAATTTTCCCTACATCTTTTACGCTCCGATCGGATATTTACAAAGAAACGCGAGCACGGCGTCTTCGGTTTCGAATATGCACACCTGTGAATTCAAATCTCGCGCCAAAACCATCGTCCTTGGTTACCGAGTCGAAACCGCAACTTCCACCGTACGCATGTGTGTTTCTCGACGTGCGCGTCCGTAAGTGCGCGACGGGTGAATTACTTATAGAATAATGAAAATAACAAAAAGTCAACCCCGTGCAGAAACGACAATCACGGCATCGTTGCCATGGATACCAAAACAATCAGTGGCAATCGGCAAGATCCCAAGGTGCGACTTCAAGGGACATTTTCAACGAGCTACAATTCATCTTTTTTTTTTCAATCGAGAGACGGAAACCAGCAGCGTGACTTCCGTTATACCAGGCGTACGTAACAAAACAATGCAGCAAAACAATCTCATCGGGAGTGAAAAAGAACAAAAAAGGAACGACGCAACATGACGCAACATCCGGTATCCCGTTACTTCCGAATCTTCAGAGGAATACGTTAAACCGATATACCGGAAGTCAAGGATACTTTTTCTTTTTAAGGAAATATTCCAAGGACACCGTATATCCCGTAACGCTATATATCCGTAGCACAACAAGACACTGTTTTTTCAATGATATACAATTTTATATATGTGTATATATATATATATATATATATATATCCGCTCTACAATCCCAAATTCTATTACTGGCCATTTTATTGAATCAGGTAGTCACGCGATTCTTTCCTGTAAACACATGCGCAATATTTGTATCCTCATGGAAATACGTACATATATCTTTATATATGAATGTACATATAAATATATAAAGCGCATATATATAATATATATACATAATATATAACTGTAGGTCAAAAGAAAGTGAATATCGCTGCTTATAAAAAGGTGTCTACGTGACGTTCGTGAGATCCGTGTGCGCATGCGCAAACAATTTTCGATAGCACGTCTACTAGAGTATTACATACAGGGCGTCTTAACGGGTATAAAGATGCAAAAAACCGAGAGGCACAGGTACGTTAATTGTCGACGGACATACGACAAGGTACGAGTGCTCTCCTTCAACGAAACTAACCCTAAAACAGCGTTCATTTAATTTTCTAGTTCTTTAATTTTACCCCTCTATCGAATTCCCGTCATCCACCATTCCTAACCTCACATTTGTTGTCTGGACTATCGCGCGAAAACCGCTTACGCTTGGTCTCTGTTTCGAGTGGGTCACGTGACCTGAAGCTTTCGAGAAAGTGACAAGAAGAGACAACGAACCGTCAGGACATTGCTGGGTTCGCACGCGAGATTCAAAAAGACGTTTCTCGTTGAAGAATGACAATTTCCTTTTTTTTCCAGTTGATCGACGTACATACCAAGTACTGGTGAGTGGTATCACGCGTCTATCGGGTTTCGTCCAGTATCTCAACGACGTCTGCGTCGACGTCGTCGAACGAGAAGGAGGCGACCGATGACGGCGTTGCCGGTGCCAATGGCGACGGCGGTTTCGAGCAATATCAGAAGACGCATGTGCAGTCCTCTGATGCCCGGGCCTACCTGGCCCGTTTACGATTCAGCTTGGCGAGCTTTCGTCGCTTCAGTATCAGCTGGTACAGAGTGTCCAGACCTTCGTGAAGACCCTCACCCGTTATTGCACATGCCGGTTGCACCCTGATGCACGAGCTACCTGGAGTACCGGCCAATTCCAATACACCCAGGTGCTTTTCCAATTCGCTTACTTCTTTCGCACCTGCAATCATCAAGGGGACGTCTTCTCGAGACTATTTTCTTTGTTTTCAATCCATTCTTATTGTAAACGGCAACAGGTTAGAAAAATTTGTAAAGTTTTCAAGGGACTTCCTTTAAAATGTTTTATCTATTTTTTTTCTATGATCAATTAATTTTACTCAAGCGAACAGCTGGTTGGTCCATTTGGATACCACTGGTAGACTAGTTAAAATTTGTTTTCTTGGAACGTGAGAAGTATTTGGGGTACCTGAAGATGCTACCATTATTTTCTGGAGATCGATTCGAATCAATGAGTTCAATATCTAGGTTCAGCATTGTCTATGTTCCCGTTCTTTGACTTACCAGGCAAATCCTGCTTATTGGCCAGAATGAGAATTGGCACACCCGCGTTATCTGGACTCCTTGCTGTTCTCGTAAGCTCCATCTTAGCCTCCTCGAGTCTCTCCGAGTCGCAGGAGTCTACCACGAAGATGATACCGTCCGTGCACCTGGTGTATGACTTCCAGAGTGGTCTGAGCTTCTCCTGGCCCCCAACGTCCCAGACGAGAAAATTGACGCCTGAAAAAAAAAATAATAAAATCCAAAATATTAAATTCAATCTTGCAGCAGTCATAACATTAGAAAAAAATATTTTTCAAAAAATTCCCTCAAATCGCAAAAATTCAATAACCAACGTACAAAAGACCCTTATAAAAAACTCCTTTGGAAATCCAACGTGTACCATCTCTTCAATATTAAACAAAAAAAAATTTTAAGCAAATAAAAATATTCCATTTCCCAAAAATCTCCATATAGTTTCCCCATGCATAAGAAATCACAATTAACCATTAGCCACAAGCTGATTACTAATTAACCCACAAACCCCCCAGGACTAATTAAAACTCATCGATGCAATTGCACAGATAATTATCTAATAAAAAAAATTTTAATGACCCAGTCATCCATAACCAAAAGTCAACCAAGCCAATACCTCAATTGCAAACCCTCCCAAAATTTATCTGCATCTTAATTAATAATTTTTTTATTTCAAACTAATTAATCAATCCAATAACCCACCTTTGGCCTTGCCGATGCCACCGCGAATTCTCTCGCAATTAAATCCTATTGTTGGTACCGTATTAAGATACTGGTCAAATTTTAATCGATATAGGGCAGTAGTCTTCCCAGCACTGTCCAATCCCAGCATCGCCACGTGAAGGGGTGTTCCAGTTGGAAGAGCCTCGAGCAATCCACCCCCGCTCGTACCGCTCCTCCCCATCCCGGCACCCATTCCTTTTGCCTCTTCTAAATTGCCACCAGGTGCCACCCTTTTCACTCCTCCCCCCTCCTTACAGCATTTAATTCTCGTCCGGAACAGCCACGTTTGAACGAATCATCGGCTATCGATTCTGCCACTTGATCAAGACGACAGAGCTCTCACTACCGCACTACCTGAAACGGAAAAACGAAAAAATTCTTAATATACAGTGTGATTCGAAAACAGTGTTAAACAATATTATCGAACGTCTAATTAGAATCTTCTTCTGTCCCTGGTATCTCAATTTCTTTAAGATTCTAAACAAACAATGTATATCATATCGTCTGATACTCGGCTACAGGTCGTTTCACTTTAGCGCCAATTAGACCCTTCAGCGTGTAATGGCTACAGGGTTATTCAAAGTAACCCACTTGTATTTGTCTACTGATGAAAAAATTAACGTACGTATGGATATCAGCTGGTTTAATTTTGTTCTGAATAAACGTCTATTCGGTCTGAATTTTATTGAACTTTATTGTTACCTGGACAACCCTGTACAACTATAATCCATATCAAGATATGCAAAAGGAAAAAGTGACTTTAAGTGTTCTTAAAAATTGTTTTGAAAATATATATACACGGGTGAATATATATACATACAAATTGTATGTTATTTATTGTTAGTGACATAACCTGGGGTCATAGGGGGTTGGTGAATCTTCTAAAGGATGAAAGGTTGGACTTGTCGAAAATCATGATTTATGACAACGAAGTAAATGGCTGTGTGTTACAAGGTAGTTTATATGTACAATATACGTAACTAAGCGCCAAACAATATTTTAGGCAGATTTTAAAGAAATTTGACGAACTTTCAAAATTCTTCCTTCACGCGTACTACAGGGTATCCAGGTGGAATTTTACATTGGAATTCCTCACAATTTCAATTGTAAACTATTTACAGGTATTTACATTTTTTTTTATACAATTAATCGCGTCCGGTCTATTTTGACCCTTTTTTTTTCTATTTCCTGTTACGATTCATACGACCCTCCCAACTGGACCAACATCCTACTCCAGGATATGCTCGAGGTCGTACTCGACCAAGCATCTCGCAAAACGACAAAACGAACCAGCGATGCAGAATCTAACTGTAAAAGCATAAAGCGTCAATGAGCAATCTTGCCTGCGATTTTTTATTTGGCAAATTTGCGAATATCTCAAAGGTTTGGCGAACCCCGTACCCAAGGAATATGTCGTCGTACTTTTTATCTACATGATGTAATCCTCACAAACGTCAGTTAGGAAGCGAAAAATAATACGAAAGCAAACGGAATGTAAATTTTCCATGTATTTGATGGCTGAATCGAGGTAAAGATTGAAACTTTGTTCTTAAGTCGCCCAACTGAACATTGTTCGATGATAAACAAATTTTTACATCATTAAAACTACTCGTAGACTCGATTTCTATCGATACCATGTACAAATATTTGACTCGCACCAAAAATATATTTTTAACCTCAAATAACAAAAAAAAAAGTTCAAAGAAGAGTATGCTTCGAAAATTTCGACATCCATCAGATTTCTATCGGCAAAGTTTTCGAGTGGCCGAATTGATGTGCGACTTTAAAAAATCATGGAGACTCGATGCTCAGGGTACGCAAGGATCAAGGCGGTATTTCCAAGGGGAACGCGCGCCGACGAAGAATTCCGACATGGTTCGCCATTAGGTAGCGACAGAAACGAGTAAAGTTGAAATGAACAACAGTAAACAAATCAATCTTTGAAAAATGAAAATTGCCAATAAAAATTTAATCAGTCATACCCCCTCCTCCCGACAAAATTCCATAAACGATCAAATACGACACAAAAATATTCCAACCCCCCACTATGCCTCTGTAAAAAAATTTTTTTACCAAAAAACTCGTCCAGTGAAAATTCAAAAATCCAAAAAAAAAATTCCCCAAAATATCGCACGTCCACTCCTACCGCCATAGCGGGCCAAACATTTTTCCGTGGAGCGAAACGATACGAAATTGGATCCAGTTGAGTCCGCAGCATCTCTACGGTCCAGTCGGACGTACAAAACTGAAAACCCACAGCCGTCAGATTACGCAATACCCTTTTCACTTAGTAGAATGACGTTGTCATAAGCTCTCTGCTTAAGAGACTTTTCCTAAAATTTTTTTCCCCAAAAAAAAGTCCAAGTCAGTACTACCAATCTCTCGTCGGCATATCAGTAACATTGACGTTATCCCGTACACGCAACGGAACCAGATGAATCTTCATTGCTGAATAAGAAGCGTGCCGTGGTTTACGCCAAGAAAAAAAAAATAGAAGACGGTGCACGTGTTCGAGGCCGTTGCTATAGCGTCAGGTGCTCAACAGAGGAGTGAGGAGGGGGGTACCTGGTTGCAGAGCCAAGAGAAAGAATCCAAGATACGTGAACCAGCATCCCGAGAGGATCTGGTGGGGGAAGTAGAGGAGGGTACCGATACGGAGAAAGGATGGAGTCACGTGAGAGATTGGGATGGGTTACTCTAATACAGGTGCATATGAGGATCAAAATATATATATATATATACAACATATACGTTACAGGTCACCCTACCACCCAAAGACGGCTGTCTGGTGCTGCGCATTCTCGAGATGATCTCAGGACGCGCAGACTCATCTTCTAGCGGTCCATCGGGGGGGCCTAACAGTTACCCGCGGTAGGTAACGTTACCTGCATCTATATTTAAGCAACCTTACCGGACTCGTGCCTATTATCTATTGCAGCGAGTACCTGGGGGTCCAGGTATAGCGAGAGATCGGGTCAGGGATAATAATAACAATCTCATCTCGCTATACGGATCTTCTACGACGAACTAACGAGTAGAGCAACAATGATCTTAACAATGACGTCCTCTCAAGTCCTTTTTTACCGTTCCCCTCTCCCCTCCTAAGTTGTGCGTGTCTTAGCTTTTGATCTCTCGAAAATTCATCCAGCATCCCTAGCGGTCCAGATTGCTCCTCGACCAACGGTTACACGGCTGCAAATGCATATGCGCTTTGAGACAGTTGTGTATATACGTATACAGTGATACAGGCTGTGCTGGACCACAGCATCATTGTCTCGGTCTATTTCTCTTGAAATATTTTTTTTTCTCGTTATCACTACACTCCGTCTTATCAATGTCGACGAGTAGGGATAAAATGTAAACGTGAGAGAGATCGACAAAGTATAACCGGTCTGGGAAATAATTGTTTAACCTTAATGCTTATTTTACATTTAACGAGCGACAGATTGAGAAAAAAGAAGTGAGAGTCACTCGTATAATATTATCGTTGTAAAATAATTAATGGGACGATTAATTAATTTCAATATCGTTGCCCGACGAGCACGTGTGTTTACCAGACGCCATACTTGTAATTTATATTTCACATAAATTTGTACGTCAAATTCACTTTTATCGATCGATTAAATACTATTGAGATAGTCCCTCCCCCCTTTCAACCCCCTCTTTGATGTACCCCGTCTATTCCAATTGATTTGTACCCAATGCCTGTTTGTTTTTCGTATAGAAAAAATTTTAGCTCCCAGCATCATCTTTTGGTCCAGACCTTAAGTTCTCGGCGCCTCGGCCGATCCGCCCGCCGTTAGGAACGTACGGGCGCGCGTGTATATAAAGCGTATATAATAAAAGCAAGCGACCGCTTGGCACGAAACGCCATGACCTACAGTGCCAGATTTCTCTGGCCGCATCTCCATCGACGTTAAATTTGATTTGCCTACATATGAGCCGCTGCGAGATGCACGGCATTGCCATCCGTTGCAGCTATAAATATATATATATACACACACACACACATACTCACACATAAAATCAGATACGCAAAATTTGATTCTTTGGAAACCACAGGGTATGGGGACAGACATGACGTGCGATGTGGCGCGAACCTACAAAAAATTTTATTTAAAAAAACAGACATACGAGAGATAAAGATAAATAAAGAATTAAAAAAAGAATACCAAGAGCGAAAGCACTTCCGTTACGCTCTCAATCTAATCTTCGACGTTTCGAAAGTCTTCTTGGCGGCTGCATAGGTGGTCCTAAGTAACCAGTGACGTAATAGAACGCTTGGAGAAGCAACATGTTATACGCCGTATATACATTATTGCTTATATAGGTATATATGTATATATATATATATATATACATGTATATATAGGTATATAGATTGTGTACAGGAAACTTCAAAAGAAATTGAACCCTCTGTCGATAATCATAACGATAATCGGCATTAGGAAAGTTCAATGACGTCAGAGTGCCAAAGGGTACTTTTTGGAGCACCAAGTAACCCCCAGCCCCTGTCCCCAACCAATGAAGTTCTACCCCAAAACTTTTATCTTTTGCCAATATCAGCCCGCGATTCAGAAATAGAATATGGTATTTCGGAAGAGTGCCAAACGCTGTTTTTGAACCTAACGGGACCTATATGTAGTTAGGCGTATGTACCAAAGAGCGTAGTTTCTTGTTTCTTTAATTTCTTTTTCCTGCTATTTATCTGCTTCCCAGAATACGATTATATTTATTTCTATTGAGAAGGAAAGAAAAAACGGGAGAGAGGGAGGAAAAGATGGCCGACAGTTACAATCGAAGCTTAAAATTTTTTGAATGAATCGTCTACTTGCCAGCGGGAAATTTGAATTTATTCCTTGAACCCTCGTCACTGGCTATCGCGACTCCATGGCGAATCTTTCACGGGCATGGATAACGCTCGCTGCAGATATATGGCGAAGGTTACGATTGTTCTTTTTTCGTGTGTTACGAAATTCGCGAATTTTCTCCATACGGTATTGCGTGTGCGCGCTTCGAACACGCGTTTCTCGTCATTATTTTTCCGCGAGGCCGACTTTACTGTTACGCCAATACCGTTACCCATTCTTGGCTATTATTACCGAGCCCCATTATTTGTCCTTATTAGAAGAGCGACCAGGGCGACACTAGCGGACGAATTCGGAACTTTGAAAAATCGCCGAGCTTCACGCGACGAATCTTCGAATCGTTACGTGACTTCGTAACAAGGATCTGATAAAAAAATGCCAATTAGGATTTAAACATGTGCGAATTTATCATTGCTAAGATGAAGATCGTGCGAAAAAGAAAGCAATTTAACATATACAAGTAATATCAAAATTTAACAGAAATTCTTTTCCCGCCGATTATCAAAAATTCTCACTCCTTGTTATTTTTCGTACAAATAACGTAAGCAAACATTTTTTTGTTCAGATCACCAAAGTGGACAATACGTATAAATACAAATTTGACAGACTGACAGCTAAAAAAATGTATCTCTTCACGGTCAGTGAGTCAAGAAAGTATTCGAGGGAGTAAACTCCATAAGAAAATATAGTCCCTCCTAAATGACGCAACGCGTCGCAAAAATATTGGCATTCCGTAGTTTAGCAATATCATTACAAGGTGGCGTATTTACAAAGCAAGCAATAAGCGACAAGATCTGTTGCGCAATAACGCAACAAAATACACAAAGCCTGTTTATCTCGATATGTCAGAGTTCAAGCCACGTATAGATACGTCGATGCGCCCAGCGGTCGCTTGACATGCAGAAAGACACTGCCTTTCGTTTTCATTATTTTCATAGAGTCGCTAATAGCCATCAGCTGTTTCCCATTTCGCTCGATACACAACAAGCGACTCGAGAAAAAAATTTGCGACTTGCGAAAGTTTCACGACTCTCTTCCCATTGCGTGAGACGGCCATATAAGTAATAAGAATAAAATCGGGAAGAAAAAAAAAACCAGGAAGAAAAGCCAACGTGGCGAATCGTAAACATAAAGAATTACGGTAGCGTCCAATTATCATGGGTAGTTACAGTGCGCGTGCGCCGGTACAATAATTATCGAGCCAAAAGCGTCTTGCAGTTTTTTTTTAATTCACAGACTGCAGAACAATAAAAAAAAATGGCTTCGCCAACGAATTACGATCGACGAAACAGAATTTATTACGATTAGAGCCTAATGGTTCAGGCGCAGTGGCTCTGAAGTTTTAGTGCACAATGAACGACAAGAAATAATACGTCACAGTATTGGCCCAAAATTCGCTGGACTATATGTATATATAGTGTCTTTGGATTTTCTACGTTGCTTTATAGTCTGTGGTGTAAGGACTTGTCAATGATTATTAGATCAGGCAGCTTTTAGGCGTTACAGTCTACTAATCCGCACGGTCCGTTTACTTCAGTAAAGGTACGTTCTTATCGGGCGATGCAAACGAAAATTTGCACAACCAGAGCATCGCTTTGACAAGTCCGAGTAGCGATACGTGCAGTGGGAACGTTGCTTGAAGCCTGACTCATAGGACAAGCCGGTTTGCGATTAAAGCCCTTATGCCACCTACGCAATCGACGACAGCTTTCCTGTTAAACGTGTAGATACAGAAGTCACCTGCCCTTATGTGGTGCGACGATACGTAGACTCATTGCAGACGCGGCTTGAGGGTATTCGATTCACATGACGAAGGTCATTGCACAGAGTTCGCGTGGCGCAGCATTGAGTCGCGCGTTGAAAATTGGTCAGAGCTATAAAAGGCGGTGAGGCGATTAAAAAAAATAATAATAAAAAAAGCTTGCACGGTCGCCTCGATGAAAACGCTAGGCGAGGTTATACGCGGGAATAAATACTTGGCGACGAGGTAGGATGGCTAAAATAGACTAATGAAAACAGGCCACACGAGTATTTACACGAAACGAATAATTACAAAGTGTCGGGAACGATCAGCTTAATGAGCGACTTAACTCCTTTGCTAAACACCAACACAGTAGCTACTCTGAATTCTGTCGCTAGACGCGTCTCGTTGAGAATTGTGTAGTTACTTTGAAAACGCGACTACTCAGTTTCTTACAGCAATCCACCGCTTGGAAAGGCTCACCAGCCTTTGAGAATATTTTTGCGAATATTTGCCAGACTATTCGTAACACTCGATGCGTATGTTTACAAGTCGCGACGCTTTACACGCAAACTTTTCTCTCGAGTGTAGCCAGACGGTAATCGCTTAAATGTGCTATGGAGGACAGCCTTAAGGTCAAGATGAGCTACGAATTAGCTTCAGTAATTTGTCTGTGAATCCATGTCCAGGAATTGTGTGTCAGAGCACAACGTACGGATTTGTAAAATATCTGAGCGATTAAAAATAAATCTTCAGAATAATAAAGATTAATACTAAATAAACAGGATTAATAATGATATACGACCTGTTGTTTCTCGTTGGGCTTAATGGTCAATAATTGTAGTCAACCATTTTCTCATTGCGAGGTTAAATATTAAACTGTCCCAATAAACGAGTCCCTCGTCGCTTAACGTTCGTTCACAAGATAGCGGCGACGCATCCTGTTACGCCCTGAAGAGAATTGAACGTTCTTGACCAAAGGGTTGAAAAAGCTGCCTTTAAAATGACCATTGTTCGATGATTTAGCACGCATAAGAGTGACACTGACCGCGTAATGGAGTGTCTCGGACGACGGCCATGTATAACCTCAAATAATTGAGAAGCCCGACTGGGGGGTTGGAAAAGCGATTGGAGAGCCAGTGACCTGAGTAATACACATCGCCTCGAATTAAGCAGCCTTAACGAGGTCTTCCTTTCCCCACAATCACTAATCCCTTGTAGTTACCAGCCACTTTGAAAGTGGCAATCCTGACAATCAGAACCTTAGGCTTGCTTCGATTTACATAGAAACACATACCATACGCATTCGTATACTTTTACAACTAGAAGAAAGGAAAATTTGAGATTCTAAACTGATTAGAATTTCCAAAAATATATACCACTGTAATCCTACCATCGGCTTTTCTTCTCGTAGACATTCAGCACTGTAGGAAATTCCCCAAAAAATCGCCGAACCGATTCGAACCCGTGACACTCGCCTGACGCTTTAACAACGTAAAATCGATATTCCGGTATCCCTGCGAACTTGTTAAATCATATGTGTCATTGAAAACACATGAGAGAGCGCGCGCGCAAGCATACAAGTATAATAAGCACGTGTGCCTCGAGATTCGTAAACGTTACGAAAATAGCGTGAATATTCCGTTCGCACGGTTCGTTGCCAGTAAGCTGCGCAGTAGCCAACTGCGCATCCCTTACTACGGTAACCGTCAAATCATTCGAGCTGAAGCGTCGTTCAAAATTTAAAAAGATATCATCCCCGCGAATTATACAACAAAACATAAACCCATCGTCCAAGACAACAATCGATCGTATCGCTCTCGTTATTTGTCACGTAACCTTAACGTATGACGTCTCACCCAAGCGCCAAAATTAATTAATACAAACTCTCAGAATCCAACAATTAACCAAATCCGCCCTCTAAAAACCCCTTAATACAGGTAAAAACTTCAAAATTGAAACCATCAATATATCCAATCAAAAGCAATGAAACCATAAACTCTATTCTCTAAATTCATTTTTACAGACCTAACCCAACCAGTCGCCTCAGCTTTCGCAACACTGTTACTCGCATCAGAGCCATAAAGATACCATTTTTAAAATGCAATACATCGATGAACAATGCAAAACTATTATTCTCGACTCGAAGCTAATCTCGCTGATACATACAGCCAGAAGAATTGATTTGTTTCACAGCTCAAATTTGCCAACGAGTAAGTAAATAATACCAAAATTAAAATTATTCCAGTAACACGACCCAATTGAAGGTCCAGGGTATTTCAGGTCCTCACCAACTCGAGTGTCGATGAGGTTAATAAAGTTTTCATAGGTAGGAATATGGATATCCCCATTGCTGCATGTTGGTTCACTGATCCTGAACATTTATATATATCCATATACTCATACCATATACGTATACACAGGAGCAGCAGGCAACCGAAGGTAACCAGTGCAGCAGGGCATTCTGCGAACATAGTGGTGAGCCGACGTGAGTGTTGGTAGTGTTATCGACTCGTAAGGAAGCGCATGCGCGGCAAAACGTCCAGCCATTCGAGAGGACCGTTCGAGGAGCAGGCGAAATTACCAAAACAAATGAAACCCATACTCGTATTCTAGGTTAGCGTCGTCTTAACTAGTGCTGTGAAAATTCAAAGGCACTCCACCTATCAAAACAGAACCAATGGCCTATATATGTACACTGTCTAAAAGCCATAAGAGGGCAGAAGCTAAAAAAACGAACGATAAGCGTCACACATACTGCCGATGGATTCGACCGTTTCCTGCCAAAGCAGTACAGAGATACACGTGCCAGTTGGTTGTATTCCACAATGAATAACGCTGGGATAGTGTTTGATAATTATAAAGCGTGGTGCGCGACAAAATGATGACTTGCTGAATAAGGATTGTGACGTGATTGGATAATAATTTTGTACAGTAATCAATTTTAGGCAGACAGTTAAATTATTAGGAATTTATTAACTCATAGTCTCAGTTACTGACATTTTTAAGCAGATATTTCTGTATTGTTTTTCTTTGCTCGATTTGAGCAATGTAAAGAATTTTTCATCTCGACCAATCGCCAAGCAAAATTTCCGTCATTTACTCACAGAGTCTAATTTTCTTATATACTCCTAGACACTGTACCGTCTTGTATTGTTTATGGCTGTTTGCACTTCCTCTTGGAAGAGAAGCAATCGTATATCAAAGATAAGTCTAATGCCGCCGTCAAGGCAAAGAATCTTTATTTAATCAGTGATACCTTGCGAACTGTACGTACGAGGTGGAAACTCATGACGCTTTACAAAGAATTAAAAAAATTTATTTCAAAAGTCTTATCAGGCGTAAAGGCTCTGATAAGAAATTTTGTAACGCGTTTTTGAGCAATTAATTTGATATACAACAGAGATTCGTCATGAAAAAATAATTGGGCGATGAATCACCGTCTGCAAGTGAATCCGAAGTAGATTTTAGATTTACTGTTTTATCCAAATTTGATAAAACAGTAAATCTGAGATAAGATACTTGGTCACTGGCGAGCAACGATATGGCCGTGAGAACAGGCATATTTCTTTTGCACCTATTTTATTCAATTATGACACGGATCTACGAAATCATGAATTTCTGATGCTTCTGTAATGCGACGACGGACCGTTGTTAATTTTAAATGTTGAGATAGCAGGACTTTGTTAAAATTAATATTGTGGTATTAATCACGTCAATTGTTATGACAGGTGCACTTGTGAGAGAGGAAGAGACGATTGGACGATCATCTTTTCTCAAGATCATTCGCTTGACTAACAATGATTAACGATCTTGAGGTCAGACCGGAGAGAAATACGTAATCCAATCAAAGTTAGATCGATTCTGTCAATTGAAGTGAAAGCCGCTGTATTTATACGCATAGGAGTGACGTTTTCTGATCTAGTAACGGTCAGGGTCATGGCGAAGAACGAATTATAATTGCCAACGTTCTTAAACTCCTGTAAGAATATTGTAAAATAGTAATAAATCATTTTACAATAGAGATTCTGTGACATGGACCAATTGCGATTAATTCGATTGTAGTATCGTGAACGATAAATCCTAATCAACTCCGACATTCCAGTCAAATTTCGACGAGTAGAGTCCGAGGGAATATTTTTCAGTTTGAGTCAACCTGGTGAATGCAGTCAGAAATATTTTGAAAATGTAGATGGTAAACAAGGAAGAAAAAAATGACTAGGATAAATCAAATGCCTAAAGAGAATTATTGAGCGAAGACAAAAATTAATAATGAAAGGTAAAACCGTTATTTATGTTTAGAATTGGAATGAATACTATGAATTATGAAACGTATATAGATAGACATTGGAATGTCTAAAGATACTTTATGGACTCGTCCGTGATATTCGTGTTGATTCCCTTAGCAACATCCTTTTATAGGTTATATTATTTGCCATTTGGTTGAAAGATGAAATTTTTCCAGTCCTAACCAAATTGTGGATCGTCTAGACTGAAGACGTCACGTCGAGAAAAGAAAAGGATCCTCGAGGCGTCCAAGTAAACACTCCAGGGGTACAAATTGCCATAGGGTGTTTAAAAGAGAGTGAAAGAAGTGTAGAGTCTGTTAGAAAATGTTGAAACACATAAGAATGTTATTAACGAACGAGCTACCTTTGTGGAGAACTCCATTTTCACTCGTTGCATAACGGAGCAATGCAGTCGTGTAAATATAAATGGATACTTAGACATAACTCCATAAGGTGCATTGGATATTGGATACTAACGATATATATAATTCACTGAAACTCACCATTTTAGAAATGATTTTATCCAAACTGGAAAGGCACTCGTTGATATCTGGGTTGAGATTGTTGAACATCAACTTGATGGTTCTTCGATGACACTTATATTTTATCACACAGGCTTTTATTTAAATAGTTCATATCTCACCCCCTGGTGTCTATATAATGTTAAGAATTGGCCTAATATTTTTTATGATTTATATTATACATTTAAACACACTATTCATTATATCTTGAGATAATTTGGGGCCTTGGGATTTCACGTGCGCGCGTATCAATTATTATCGTTCACCTCTAAAATGTCATAAGACTCCTCCAGGCCACGCATAAAAAGGCACAGAACGAACTCTACGCTGGACCGGCGAGGACTGACTTGAAAATCAAGACTGACCGATGCTCGTAGCAACACTCGGCGACAATTGCTACGTAATTGGTTAACTGGCCGCCAGATGGCTACGTTTGTCCTGCCATCTGTTGGGCAATATGGTGATTTAATCCCCATTCAGAAATACGTTAATAGTTGATAATGAGAATTTGAAATTTCTTTCATTTATCAAGTTCTATTATGGTACGGTGCAATTTTGGAAAACTGTTTTTAATTTATCGTGGTATCAATAAAGCAGATGTGTGTAAAATACAACAGAGTACGGTAAGTCGAAGAATCCCTGAAGAATATTACATAGCAGATTATTTCCGTAAAGTATTTAGACGGGTTTCAAGAATGGCAGAAGTGACAGCCGAGACAAACATAATTTACTCCATACTCGTTCGTTATGTTTGAGCTATAAAAGTTTTCAGGAATGTTGCTGCGAAAACTCGGTTTTATGAGTCTGTAACAAATTCTTTACTACCCAATTCACAGCCTGACATTTACGTTAGGACTGTCACATTTTCAACAATGTACGACATAACAATGTCATCTCTGAATGTCAATGTTCATTTCTTATAAAATGTGTATCCATAATGTAATGTCAAGCTGCGTTGTAAACAAATGAAATCTGCTCTCAATGTTCTAGATGTCCATAAGCGTATTTTATTATACACAGAGAGTGAATCGAGTATCCCAAACGCAGCCAACCGTGCCAAGTCAATTGTCCTTAAACAATAATAAATTGGGCTCAAACAATGAAGTCAAACGGCGTCGACACGCTGCCGAATGAACAAATAAACTGTACACTATCGTGGCTTTCATTCGAGCATAGAATACTCGGTGAAATGCCACGGTAGAACGAACGCCCGGCACGTTTCATTAAATATAATTTATTGTCCGTCTCTTAATCGGTTCGTTTGTCGCGTTGGGGTCGTGAGAATCAGACTCGAGGACAAAAAATTGTATCACGTACCACACCAATTTATTAGACTTAACAATATTATTGCGATGTAAAAAAGGTTGTTCCCCGGCAAAAAATGTAATCCTCATTTCATATACAGCTATATGGTTTTATATGTACGTAATGTGGCAGTATTACCACCTGATGACGCTATGCCGACAGATGTTGCAATATATTGTCTGCACCATTTGACAAATAGTAAAATAAAATAATACGGCAGGTTATAAATTATTAGCGCCATACTTGGATGTCTCGTCCAGCAAAACTCACGTAGTCCTTTATGACTCACGATGTATCTGTCGGTCATTTTAAATTGTACCAAACACTATAAAGTAAAAAGACACCATACCTTAAATTACATAAATAACAATTTTTGTTTTACTAAAAAGTTATACATTTTTGAAAATCATCTTACCATTGAAAATAACAATGGCGACGATTTTATATGTTACTATACATATATGTATATATATATGCTAGGCTTCATACTTTCTGCACATACAAGTACAATTGTCCCTGAGAACTAGTAAGTACATTTCACACGGTTGTTTTAATAATTAATTTAACAATGACTTAGAGAGTGTAAATTGGCACCAAGTGCAAGACTTACAATTCTCAAAGCGTCGCGCCTTATTGGCGCAATTCAAGACAAAAGATATAATTACTTACTTTCACTGACTTCCGTCGATTGTTTCGCAACTGTGTATAGTAAAGGTATATATACAACGGATCACCGGAATATACGCAGGAGATAAATACACAGCGATTAAAATTCATTGTTCCATAGGATGAACGAAAATTTTCAGAGGCAATAAAACGTATCGACTATCCCTTCTTCTTATACACAGTTATAGGAATAATGGTAAAATTCCCTGACGGGCGTAGTTTTTGATTGACAGATTATAATAATGCAAATTTAAGTATCTGATGTACTTACGTTAATATACTTGGGTATTTTTGACATTATTGTAATTTTGGGCGAATTTATGCAATCTCATGTTAATTTGTAATATTCCTGAAATTCCATGATCTCGCGTGAATATTCGTGATTTTAATTAATTCTTGAATATGCCATATATCGCTTAATGGTACAGTAGCTCAATGTAGTTATATGTATAATGAATTGTGAAGTTTAATGACTTTTTTTTTCTCATTTCACAAATACCGTTATTTGAAAATTGAGGACTATTTTGGAATTGCCGATTGGGGCTGACGTTCTGTATTCCGTCACGCAGACTTTCGCGATCAATATCGGTTGCCAAGAGGCAGAACAGTTATTATCGGATATTCCTACAATTTTGTTATCTCCTGCTCCTACTGCTATTATTAGCACAGACACTAAACCGAGTAATGGAATTATTTCCATGACGGCGACAACGTCAAAGGGAATTTATTTTAAAAAAATTGTATAAGAATATTTTGGTGACAAAAGTTAGAATGGACAGGAAAATGGACAAAATGGACAAATCTAAAAGAATATTGTCTTGCATAATAAAAGTCCTTTAGTGATATTTGGATACAGTGAATTTTTTTTCTTATGTACTTTCTTACTGTTACATAATAACCGTTAATGAAGCGCCTGAAGCTATGCTGCATGTCATTCCGCTGATGATAAATGGTTGCCTCTTGTAATTCAGAGAGGAGTTCAGTCATCGGCAAATATTATTCACTAATGTTAGTGTCGTGTCTCCTGTATACAGGGTGTCTTATGATTTTATGATACGATAAAGTAAAACGCGGAGGTAATAAAAATTTGTGTATTATTCGATCTTGAACAGGTATTTAATATTTTTTATTAGTTTTATATTACAATAAAATATGTTAGAAAATATTGTGCTGTGATGATTATAAATCGGTCCCTCGATAGTCGCACAGAGCGAACTTAATATTTTTTTAAATTCCCATCGCTTATAGGAATCTTAAACTTGTTCCCATTAGCTGCTCTGACTCTGTCCACAAATCACTGGAAAAAAATCCTCCTATTTTTCCGGAAGCCAAATATCCGACGTGCAATCACCTCCGGGATATCTGTGAAAAACAAAAGAATACAAGATTTATCAAGAAAATCAAAAATTCTTTCTAATTGTACAAAATTTTAAACTAAGTTTTGAATTTATCCTTTTTGACGTTTAAACACAGAATAAATACCTAATCTCATGAGCCAACAAAATATCTTCCTTATCAGCACCAAAATCCACCAGAAAATCCTCATCCAATTTCATGCCCCCATTCTCAACGTCAATGTCGAGCTTCACCATTGTCGAGCCGTGCCTGAAATGAATTTAAAACTATAAATATTGACAATTCCATTCAGCATCCTAGAAAGCGAAGCCACCCGTTATAGGTACACAGTTACATATTTGTCCAAGGGCCGATACTACGTATTTACAGCTTTTCAATATAAGCAAAAGAGAAAAAAATTTTCCCTACAAAGTATTCTCTCTGAATATAATCAATAACCAATAACCTATTGATGTGATGGGACAGCGCAGTATCCCTACGCTATTAATTAATGAGTATATTACAAAAAGGGTGGTTAATTAAGTGAACTCTTCTTTCTTAAGCGATTACTCTAGCCTGAAAAACTCACTTTATTATATCAGGATAAAATTGTCTATCCCAGGGTTTGAAAATCGAAGTGGTTACATAGAGTCGTCGTCCGTCCAAACTTAATTGAAGCATCTGAGGGGAGCCGTAGAGACGTCGTCCTTTCACAAACACAGGCTCACGTTGCCCTGACCCTTCTGGATCCTCCAGGACGCGTATCTTAGAATCTGAGAGTATGGACCCACCCAGTAACACTTGACCTGTTAGTTTGGGATTACGGATGTCTGTGATATCATACTGTCTAACGTCTCCATGGAGCCAGTTCGAGAAGTAGAGGTACTTGTCATCCAGACTCAGTAAGATATCAGTAATCATGCCTATAAAAAAAATTGCATATTGAAAGAAGAAAAAAGAAAACCAAGCTAATACCTATAAAATTAACTGTCTATCAACTTACCATACATGTCCGGTGCTATCCAACCTTCAACCTTTTTAGGTGGAACCTGAAGGACCTTCTCGGCAGACCACGTGCCCTTTTCGTTCTTAAAGAACCTAAAGATGGCTGACTTCACTGCACAACCTACAAGACCCTCGGATGCTGTAGGCTCGTGAAGAAATCTTATCTCCAGAGGAGCAATTCCATCTTCCCCTAGATCTATAGTCTGAAGTAGATTCCTACCGCTCCAGGAGTAAACATTCAGACTCCTTCCATAGACATCTACATTAATAAATGACATTACAGATTCCATCCAATTAGTAAATCTATGGATTCAAGTATTCACGTACTGGGATCAGCAGCATCACCAGCTTCGAATCCTCTCTTGAAGACTCTTGGTGTTCCCCACTCGCTACCAATGAGTATGTCATGATAAGGCTGGTACCAAAAATCGTAACCGAACCTGGCTTGCTTATCACCCTTGCTCCATCGACCTTTGACCTGGAGTGTTTCACTGTTGATTGAAAAATATTCTCCAAGACCATCTCCGTCGGGCGTACCCATGGTGGAAATAAGAATCTCTCCCGTAGGAGAGCAATGGGACGTATGTGGCGTGGACAGACCCCATTCATGCATTTCATCAGGTTCGATCACCTTCAACAATCAGAAAGAAATAAATTGAGTTTGACTGTTTCAACTAATCTGTTTTGATTTTTTTGTCTAAAAGCAAGCTGGACCAGTCTGTTTAAATCCTTCTTTTTTCTTCTACCTTTTTTATCGATGGCTCAAGCTCCTTTGACACATCCACCAAGTACAGTCTATCTGACATGAGAGACGGCAGCACCAGAGTATCCCGCTTTCTAGGAAGATCGTGACAGCTGCTACATATGTTCCAGCCGGAATGGTGCAACTCATCTCCAGCATGCAGCATCCTTAACTTATGTACAATCTGTCGGATTTATGTAGTAAGTACAATAAGAGGAAGTGTATATTGCTTCAAAAGAATATTAAAGAACCTGGTAGCAGGTGTTAATATAAAATTATTATACAGTATAGAAATAGTCAATATATAAGATATACAAATTGAATTGTTGATGCTCGAAAATATTATGCATGTGCTACAAATAATTATTCTGATAACAGACAACAGTAAATCAATATCAAAATCGTGATCCCTTATTAGACAACTATCCTTTATCACTCGTCTCAATAAAAGAATATTAATAGAAACGCATAGAATTGATAAACGATTGACAATGAAAGTCTATAAAAAAATCTCAATATTCATGAAGCTACTTTTTCTCTGGTCTTTCATGCGGGAAGTAACAGGCATTATTTTTGTCCTTTTCTTTCTTTTACAGGACAGAAAAACCAGGCCAGGCAGACTCGATGGGCTCGTTCGCTCGGAAAGACTAATTGCTTCATTGAAGAAAAAAAAAGAGAACCAGAAACCAGAGTGGATCGATCTGTTAGATAGAGACGTCGTACAGCAGCAAATGATATGACAGCATCATTACCAATGGGCAAAGAAATATTTTAAAAAGTTCTGTGCATCAAGTCCACCCCAATATGTCAAATAAGTGACAGTAATCATAATAAAATAATATAGACTGTTATACGAAAATAATTATTTTTTCACTTTGTTTTCTCTACCTGACAATAGGTTGGGCTTTCAGGATCCACGTCGACAGTCGAAAGGACATCAGGTTTACTGTCATCCGTATTAATGCAGACAACGTATAAAATCTTTTCCCTTGGTCCTTCCAACATGGCAGCTATTGGACTCCTGTATCCAGGACCGCAGGAAGCACATTCTGCAATTAAAATATTTACATCACAAGCATGACCCAATCCGCAAAGTACTATTTTGGTATGCAAAGTTATAACGAACTTATGAATAATTTATCATACGTTTCAATGAAAGCCTAGTGCAGCGTTAATAATAATTCAATACCTCAATGCAATATGGTAGCAATCGAATATATTAGCACGCTGAATAGTATGTATCAGGAAAAAAGCAAGAGCTCACTTAATACACAATTATACATTCCTGCCATGTGTATCTGTTTCATATACAACAAATAACAAAAATACCCACTTTATCAAGATACTGATAAGTACAGAAAACCTAATGTAGAATCAAGCGCTCTTTGCTCTGTCAGTTGAACTTGTAACTTGTAACATACTATACACGTGCAGTAGATACGAAATATAAATAAAATTAACTACAACTTCTTGCAGGCAAGCTAATAAACAATGTGAAGATTTAAATGAAATCATTATTCAAACAATGCACAAGTTGTCCTTTACCTCGTCCGTTAGCCATGTATTGCTGCTGAGTAGATCCAGTAAATGATTTAAATCTGGAAAGGTGACGATGAATCGACTGAAGAACGGCGTGCTCTACGAATTTGCGATGATGATTCCTTGATGGTCACGGACGTACTGAGAACTGGTTTTAAGTCAAGGGGTCGGTAGTGACGTTCAAATCAGTAATCAGTTCAGAAGGGGAACTGCTGGTGTGTTTGAATTTCTTCAAGTTCATTACCATTACATAATAACGCATTGACATGACCAACCGTAGCTCAACAAGAAGCATCTCAGACACAAACCCAAAAAATTTGTTTTTTTTTTTCAAAAATTTTCCACCGTCACATAGGTTCTTCTATGAGGAAGCAAAATTTGTGGTTCCTGTCTGATTCAAGGGAACTTTGACCAATGAGTTTTGGTTAGAAAAATCTTAAATAATTTCTTTATATATTGGCATCCAATATGATTTGGGTTTGGATTACTCATCGTAGCTGCGATTGGTGATAGTTTAACAAACATGATAAATAACTTTCTTGTTTCTTGTATTTGTAAACCGAAATTACTTTGTGCGGCATGTATGTTACAATGATTTCGAACATGAAGACCAAAGAATAAGAAAGAGAGAAGAGGTACAATATAACAGTATATCACTGGTACAATAACTGTACCAGAAAATTCTTCTTCAGGGATATTTGACACTTTTCTGTAATGCGACACGGTGGATGATTCATGACTAATTTTAATGACTTGTTTTTTATTTATATTAACTGCTTCAGTGGATTTTGCGATATTCTTTAATTTTGTGCGCACTAAATAGAAGAATGTAAAAACTTGGTTGCGTCTTTCTATGGATGTTGCATTTAGCCATGTAATACGTTCGACGACCCTACTGATAATTTCGTGACCTGTGATATGCTTGCAAATGTTTTTCACGTAATTCTTCATAACACCTTTTACTGTCTTGTTTAGGATTTAGTTAAATGAATTATTGTATTTTTCTCTTTAATGTACTGCAGCATCACGCAATGTACATCAATTTCCACATGTCATCTATAATCATTGAGATAATGCTTATTATTGTGTACTTCAATCTCTTTGACACATTACCCTGTATATCGTCCGCAATAATTGTAAAAAGCGCAGACGACAGTTTGAAAAATCTTTTAGACAACAAGTGATTGTTAAAAAATAATTAACAATGAACGCAGTTGATTACTATTTTTTTTTTGTACAATACCATACCAACACACCTAATAGATCATAAGACATAGCCACTGAAAATGTGAAAAAAATGACAAAACTTTTCTTACAAATATTCTTTCTTCGTTATTCAAATTAATTTTTTCAGTTTATTAAAATTTTCTTTTCACTTTTCACTGCATATTCTTCTATTTCCTTCTTTTTTATCCTATGAAATTCTTTACTCCTCTCTCCACGACAGTCTACGACTCTTGGCACTCACGTATGTATTTAAGGCTCTCTTTTAAGCTTTGGCTTCATCCAAAATGAGCATGTAACATTTACATTGTTTTGTTTATTCAAAATATTATTTATCTTCGATTCTTTGCGTCGGCTTATCACTTCTAATCAAGTTTCAATCCCACAGTCTCCCATAATTTACATTAAGTCAATCATCGTTTCACGAGCCGAGAAGATTGTTAGAATAAACATTAAAGCTATTGAAAATACAATCTCTTTCGCTTAATTCTATTGACTTAATAAACTCATCTATGTATAAAGTCAACGGGTGATTGTCGTCGTAATATCTACGAAATAATTAGACGTATACCGTCTCTCGAAACAATAGTCTCACGTTTCCTCTTATCTTTTTCACAAATATTATTCATACCCGCAAAACAATAATCCGTTCTTGTTGTATAAAACTCATAAATCCTGATTCGTACTAATAATAAAGTTTAAATTTACCGAGAGAATATCTAATAAAATTGTACATACAGTTCTGTCGTACATAAATATCATTGCTTTTTGACCGACATATACAAATCTCATGTCTAGAGATATAAAGAATTAAAAAATTTGTATAATATAGGGTGCTCATACACGTCATTGGTTACGGTGCATCGGAAAGACATTGAGTAAAGTGGCTCGGCGAGATAGAGTAATGGATAGTCTTGAGATAAGTAATCAAAGAAGTCATTCTTTGGACCCTTGCGATTATTTTTATACGATCAATTTCCTAGAAGTGTATTTCATGTCTTGATAATGTATCTGTAAAAGTTTACTAAACATACATCTATTTTTTATGTATATATATATAATTGTTTTGCAAATGCATTAATTCCTCGTGACAATATCAATTCGCACGCATAATGACACATTGATAATCCTATTCTACTGTGCATCCCCTGATTATATGAATAATCATAAATTTATTTATCAATAAAAGTGACAATAAAAAAATTGTGGTGCAGTTAGATAAATGTAAAATTTTCGAATAAAAAATATTTCTCAAAGCCCAATGACTGTAAGTAAGTTCAATCTCTTTTTCAATATCAGTCATTTCTATCGCTCCCGGACGCGCTGTCCTTGTCACTAAATTTTCTGACGATCGTCCTTTTCCTGTGCTTGTCATGCAAAAGAGCACAGACCATAAGATTTTCTCGATGAAGCGCTGCCAGTTTTCGTAATTTACCTCGTGCCATTTCTGCTTCCGCGACGATAAGATTAAAACCGTTATCCAATTTGTCCAATCCGTTACTGATATTAGCAACCATCTCCAGGAGTAAAGCGTTGTTACGTGCCTCCAGGTTGATCTTTTTACTAGTGATGATAACAGCCAATATCAGAGTGACGAGGAGTCCAAGTCCCAATAGGCTCTTTTGTAGGATCGACATCATTTTTCAAAAATGGCCCAGCGACACTGCTGGATCTTTTTTGAGTTTCATTGCTGACGGTGACGTGGAGAAATTAAAAAGAAGAATATTCAGTTACTTGCAATATAGCGTTACTAGATATCCAAGGTCACGTTCACTTGTTTATGCAATTTTCATAAATCTGTCAATTATTAATAGAACTTATTGTTTCACTGGGCTTGACAACTTTATTTAGATTTCACATTTGAATTAATCATTTGCAATCAGTCATATTAACAATTAGTTTATTCTTACCGCTTCAGGTACACGATAACGATTGTATTACGTCATATTTTTTATATCTATTATCAGATCCACAAAGAATTATGTACGTTGTAAAAAAAATGTTTTGATATCAAAGGTAGAAAGAAAATCACTTCTTTCTTGTTACTCACGTCAAACGACACTCTCCACTTATTTTATCACAGCCAACAGCACGATCCTTTTACGTCATACAACGAGCAAACTCTTCGAAAATTAAAGAACGAATGTAGTGCAAAATGCAAAATTTGGAATGCACCAAATACAAAGAGAGTATATAAATTTAAAAGCTCATACCAAACAGCCCTTCATGGACTTCACCGAGTGCACGTTGAAATGTTTTCTTTCTTTAACCTCTTCCTTCTTCCTTAGTATATACTAAAAAAATAAAGAAGTACTTTCCGCAAGTCCAAGACACTTCCGTACCAACAGTCACTCCACTTGGCATTAGCTGCTGATAATTATGTTAACCAGCCTGGTTCATTAACACACTGAGGCAGACATGCTGAAACTGCTCACATGATACCCGCTGGAATGTTTCACTCTTTTGAAAAATTCTTAGCGAACCGCTGCTCGTCTCGTGCGTATTCATTGTTTTACACTTGTTGATCATGTCCGGTGAGCGAGAATCAGAAAAGAGTAACACGATCCACGTGCAGTCGCGGTCTCACGTCACCCTTACCCTTAGACATCCTTTGGGGTGTCCACGAGTAGGTATATCACCGAGTTCGTTATTATACGAGCATTGCCGAGGGAAGCCGAACTGGCCCGAGATACTCCGTCACGCGTGCGCTTGGTAATCAATAGGTAAACGAATGTGGATCCCGTTGGCGGCATTCAAATTCTTGCGATATTCAACAGGATTATGACATTGGAAGATCTTTTGAACTACTTTTGTGGAGATTTCATGCTGGGATAAGATGCAGGTGAGAACTGAAGCTAAGAGTTGACAATTTATTGTCTGACTCGTAAGAAATATTTACGCGAATAATCTGAATTTGAATCTGAAGAAGAATGCTGAATACTGCTTCTCTCTGGTTCTTGCTTATTTTTAACCTGACTTCACCAGTTAACCGGCATTGGCACACGTATATAGATATATTCAGTGGCTCAACGAAGCTATTGAATTTAAAAATACGACTTGATGGAACAAACTTGAATTGAAGAGTTTCTGTTTCCTTTTGTATTACAGTCTGCTGGGATTCTGGGGTTAACAGGAAATTTATGACGTAGTTAATAATAAGTTACTTTACAATGATTTTACACTGTCCTACGAATATCTAGACAGATTGTTATCCTGCACGATTGTCATGGTTTTCTCGTTGTTTTGCGTATACGACGGTCGTATTTGTTGGAACTACGAGAGTCAATGAAAATCCTGTTATTATATTTAATTGCGATAGGATTTTTAAAAAAATTACTAGTCATTGTTAAAAGAAACTTTTTATTCTTCGCCTTCCATTATTCTTTCGTTTTCATATAAAATTTTTAAACTTACGTACACCTTTTTCTTCACTGCACACAACGCGGCGCGATCTCTACTTCACGTTGGGAATTCGCAGTAAGATTATCGCTTGCGCAATACAAACTCATGCCGCGAGTGTATGTAAGAAAATATTTAGGCAGCTACATTTGTTTCTATTTTTATGCCATCGCACGATGTTCATTGGAAATTTACCGGGTGCTACTCGGTATAACGGAGTACAACTAAAAGTTGTACTCAGCGATTGCTATTTTAATATTATTCTCCACGTGTAATCTGTCAATAATAATATTCAAATTATCATACTGAAAAAAGGCTGTCGCTCTGACATTTCAAGCCAGTTGCTTAAACTCACCCGCCGCGAGACAATAAGAAATGGCTAAGAAGTGATGAGTGACTTTAATTAATTTTCCTCTAATCCTTAACATCCCGTATCGATAGCTCTTTCAGCGGTACTTCCTTGTAATCTCGACGAGGTAGGAATCTGTAAGGAAGAAATTACATGCAAAAATTAAAAGAAACAAAGCTATTCAACATCGTTCAGTATCATCGGTGAGTATTAAAATGTACATATGTATATGCATTATCGTGATAAATAAATACCTCCTCATACATGGTGCAATGTGACGTGGATTAACATCTTTCAGATTAACAGTCCCAAGAACGTAGCTGCCAATGACTCCAAAGACAACAGTTATGAGGGTACCCAAGAAATAATAATACATAAAGGACAGCCGATAAATAAACAAAGGTTCATTATCAGGATCCAAAGGTGGTGAAGTAGGTTCCATAAGTATAGTTTCATTCACAGCAGACGGACATTGATCTGTGCTAATGGGGAGTGGTGTGTGTTTTATGATACCGTGGGCATTATACCACTCTGCCCCGAAGATGATCCAACTCATAACAGCCAAGGACACAGTGCCACCAAACATGACGCCCTTCACATTGGACCAAGGAACCAAAGTACCCAGCACAAACATACCAAGAAGAGGACCACCGGATACGGCTCCCATACTGACTGACATATGAAACACATTGCCCAGATGCTCCACGATAAAGACAAAGCCTACTGATATGACTCCAACGATGACCACGATAATCTGTCAAGAGAATTTAAAGAAATAGAAAGTCTGGTGACGCGTAGTATGACGCATCAATGTTAATTGGTATTTGGTATTGCAAATGAATTAAAGCCATTATTTACTTTCATTATAGTGGCTGCCCTGGACTCGCTCCTGGAATGATCTGGTATGAATGGCGCAATAAAATCCTGATATATCGTACCGGCCAGTGTGTTGAGATTTATGCTCATAGTGGAAAGCGATGCACTCATCAATCCGGAGAGAAAAAGTCCTGGAAGGCCAGGAATACCGTCGGCAACGTCCATCACGTAATACGGCAATATTTGATCCTTGCGTATTATAGCCTGTAAGGATATTAGTAATCAAACGACTGTTTAATAGGTAATCTGCTTGGTTTCATGCTTAATTACTCACTTTACTAGTGAAAGGATCGCACCCGTGATACTTGGCGTAAATTATAAGTCCGGTAAAGACAGATATTAATTTAGCAACTGTCATTCCAAACCCCGTTGCCCACATAGCTCTGTGTACAATAATTAGAAGTGTTAATTACTTGGAACAACGTGTAGCACTGATAGTGGCAGCTATTGCATACTTTTTGGCATCGGACAGCGTTGGGACTGCTAAAAATTTTTGTATGCTTCCTTGATAAACGCCAAGGTGTCCCGTGAAAATGAATGTATAACCAATTGCTACGCTCCAAAAGCTGGATCTTATGAAGGGACTAGGGTCCATACTGAAATTTTCATTGGACTTATTATTATAATTCAAACTGTCAGAGAAAAGCAGATACAGGGTTAAACTGTATCAAGATGCATAATGTTATTCTTGATAATAATTGAATCTTACTTGAAGAATACAAGGCGTTTTCCCTCAGCTGAAATTCGCCAAATTTCGCTAAAACCGTTCAAATAATTGATTCCTAAGTAAAGAACGACGAAGAGCGAACCGACGGTGGTTAAGAATTGTACAGTATCCGTCCATACTACCGCCTTGAGACCTCCCTGATTGAGTAAAGGAAATTAAATAAGAAAATTAATAAAAATTTAATTTAACTATTAAGCGCCAATGCCAATCTGATTAACGTCTGTCAAATACTTACTAGGCTTGTGTAAATGATGCATACTATTGATATCACTGGCGTTATCACGTGTATGCCCCAGCCAGTGGCCTGTGCAAAGGCCAGGGCAGGTACGTAAATCACTATGGGTATGTAGAGGAATAAGGTGATGGTGAAGAGAAGAGAACAGAGTATGCGTATCGACTTGGCGTACCTCATCTCCAGGTACTCAAATGTACTTGCGATTTGAAGCTCGTAGAAGACTGGGATGAAGATGCAGACATTAATGATGCATGTGAAAATTGACGCGAAGATGATTACTGCGTATTGGGTTCCATATGAGTAAACTTCTGTTGGTATACCAAGGAGTGTGATACCTGACACGTGACTGAGCAAATAAATGATTTAATTAAATTATTTAACTACACGGTATCTTGACTGTATAATTGTATAAGCTAGAAACTACATACCTGGCAGTCAAGCTCACAGCTACTGGAAAGTAACTCATGGTCTTTCCGCCCAAAAGATATTCCGTGGCATTGTCTTGTTTACTAAAGAATCCAAAATAAGTACCAATAAGAAAGCTCACTAGGAGCATTATTATGAATATACTGTAGTCAATCCAGTCAAACGTGAGATGAACCATTGACACGACTGAATCGTTACCGGGCATTTTTATAATTTTTTTATTTATTATATTCAGTACTTAGCAAGAATTTATTTAGCTTTTTTTTTGATTGCTGATATTATCGGTAGAGTCGCTTTTCGCTTCAAAAAGATGTTCTCCTCGGAGTTCAGTTAAGATACTGACAAGGCAGGCTGATTTAGATGTGCCACGATACTTCGGATGTGACATAGTAAAATTCCAGTAAAGGACGCAATTTATAACGTTTACTGATAACAAAGATTTGTGATTGTTACGACGGTGTTATTATACAATGAAAAAAACCTGGAATTTCCTTTCTTGGCGATGGCGCTTTTTTTTTCTTTTTATAATTTTTGTACACCCAGTTGGGTTAAGTCGATTTGCGTGTTCGGTATGTCTTTTTTGACGGTTTGCAAACCATGCAATATTTACCATAATCGCACGTGACTTTTTGTAAAATCGCAGACTTATGTATTGTTATATTTAAATTATACTGTATTTCTGTGCTGAACGATGCAAGTGCGTATTTTTTATGAAAGATTTTAAAGCCACGTGTGACTCACTGGAGACTTCATTGTTTTTGATCTATCAATCGAAACCCATTGAACTCTTGGAACGACTGCACTGTGGTCTTAACCAGGTTTTATTAATGTATCGCGCAATCGTAGTCATAGCTAAATATGAAAATTTAATTCTTGATGACAAAAAGATTTCGATACTAATTTTCATTGTCATAAGAATTTAAAAAAGTAACTACGCTCAAATAGATTTATGATTTTTTTTTTTTACGATAAAGTGACAGGCTGCTTAATCTCTTTGCAAATTAACGTGATATATTGAATGAGTTGTATCGTATTTCGAACGTTGCGTAATGAGCAAAGGACGTTTAATTGTTAAATAATTTTAGATAGAAAATCTACATTATATTCATGAATGTGTATATTCTTTGATCAATTCATCTGATTGAACGATAATAAAGTAACTATAGGCAGATTATTGGAGGAAAGGTGCTAAGATGCTATAGTAATAATTGTACACAGGAAATTCTATCTAAATAACTGCAACTACTGCAGAGTAGTCCTTATTAAATAAATACAATAACAGGTATTTGTCTATGGGTCTGCAGTACCTCTTGATAATTGTACGCTCGCTAAATGCGCGCCGAACGGCCTTCCCTTTGACCAGCTTCCGCTAAGATTCTTCCAACCATAGCCTGTACACTGTGTAACTCACCCCCGCTTACAGTCAAGCGTGAGGCAGGCAGTGAGAAATAGTTGTAACTGGTGCACCTTCGCTCTTTAGAGCCCCGTGGGCGCGCATTTAACGAAAGATTACAAAATTTCGTATTCTGAAATTTACTGACAATAGTACGAAATTAGTTATGTCTTTTTCAGAGACTTTGGATGAATAAAAACACAGCAGTGGTCACAGTACTTAGTAGTAGTAAATATCAGAAGACATCCTTAAGCAGAAAGATTTATGTAAACTTAATATTAACAAGTTACTGCTTCAATAGCTAAACATATCAAATTACTATTTACAATATCTAAAAGTGTATCTAATTATAGGGTATTCATAATCATTGATATGAGCTAATGGAGAATTTCACTGGGGATGTATCCCTTGGGCACGTTGCCATGCGCCAAATTTAATTGTAACTTAGACCTAACTTAGTGGTTATAATTAATACTAATTTACAATGACAGTATACGAGTATTAAGTAGAACAAATCTGTGAATAATGCAGTCATTGTTATAAAGTCACTGGTTGGATATTCGTCCCCTGAATGTTATTAATCATTAAAAGACCAAGTAAAGAATTACTAATAACTAAGATAACTTGACATTATCATATTTATACAAATATTTACATGCTTCAACAAATCCAATGTATATATACAAATTACTTCACATAAGCATATAAACTTACAGTGCGAAGAAAAATTTAAGAGGAGTATGTACACAGAATTCTTATGCAGCGATACAAAGAATTGAAGAAAAATTCTTTATAAAAGTATTCGATGGATCGAATAGACAAAAATCAATTTAACAAGTGTCAAATAATAATTGCAAATTATTGATGCTGCAGGAGAGGAATACAAGCCATATCTGATACCCAGACTTCTTCTGAGATGCATCCTAAGCCCAGGATTATAAGATGCAGTTGGTCCACATTGCTGCAACGGTGCATCCCAGAGATTATCATCTCTTGCACCAAGAAGAAGTGTATACTGTCCACTCCAGTTAACTCCAACACGTGCTCTTAGACGCAACGTCGATGGAGCTTCTACTGCATGGACAATACAGTTTCTTGGCCACGAATTTGAGGGTCTACCTTTATTTCCACATTGAGCTGCCACCGTGGGATCACCTGGTATCAGAGTGCTCTCCGCCACGTGAAGATCTAATTCCGTTGTTCCTGTAGGAATGAATGATCCTAAAGGCTTCTTGGTGGTCTCCTCGTAGCGTTGATTTCCTCTGAGCATGGCGGTAAACGATTCCGCCATTGAGGGTTGTGCATTTTGCAAAAGATGACGGTACGAGTCTTCCTCGTCTAAACTTCTTTTCGTTTTCAAAATTCCTTCTGTCTTCTTATCAGGATCATCCTTTGATAGTGACACCATTAGCGGATTTGAAGTTACAATTTCTGATAAATCAATTGTGGAGTCTTCTTTTACTTTATTTGATATACTAAGGAAATGACTTTGATCCTTATGCGCATCAACTATGGCGCTCACCGAGGTTCCTTTAGCTTCCTTAATTTCTTCAATGGTGGGAAGCATCTCTTCTTCCTTGCCACGTTTCATGCCGTACATGTCGAATATCTTACGCGCCAGTTCCTGGGTCATCCATTCCTCAAGAGCCTTTTTCTGTCTTAAAGACTTCATCAAGTAAAGGTCTTCCTTCGAGTCGACCTTGACAATATCTAATGGATTTTGCATAAGTTCTTTAAGGTCAGTTGTATCCTTCATGAAACTCCTTTTCTTCCTATATAAATTTCTTACATTTTTAGAGTCCGTTCCTGTATAGTCCGCATTATTAATTGATAATAAAGCTAAAGAGTCTGGATATACTCTCTCGATATCATCCAAAGACAAATTACTATCGATATCTGCGTCTGTTCTGTCACGTCGATGTCTTCCAGCTCTCTGAACATAACTTCCGGCAGCACTAATGGCATACAGGAACATAGAACATCTAGGATCCGCATAATAATCCCATCGACCAGTCCACAGCTTGTCGCCGGAATAAATCTGTAATTGCCTCTTGATCCAAAGGCCGCCATTAAAGCTTTCGCAAGTCGAGCTTAACCATGCTCCGCCCAAGAGTGCTGGAAGTGCTGCCACCTCGTGTAAAACTGGAGGACTGGTTTCCGTTCCCCGAGCAATAGTACTGCAGACCAAGCATCCACTTGTCTGTTAAATGAACAGAGTTAAACGATTTTTACAATCCATGGTAATATTTAATCTACAGCAATGTTTTATTTCATCGACCTCATATTTACCGTATCTATTCGCAGTAAAGCAGCAGGCTGCAAAGACGTTGGTTTGTAAGTTTGACGAGATGGAACATTCGGCGGTAGACTAGCAAGAAAGAGTTCCACTCTTGGTTTACCGCTGGACCCAAGACCAAACCCTGTAGAGCTCATCGGCTTCTTTTGAACTCTAAGAAGTTTTAGTTCGCTGAAATCAATACCCAATGGCTCCATGCAATTGATTCCACGATGATTTCTCGACGGCGGGTGACCTTGCAGAGAATTATACCGTGGACCCTCCCAAAGAGGATATCCAAGTCGACGCTGTTCGTAGATCAGCTGTGGCACGTACGGACGCCATCTTGGCTGTGGACTGCAGGACACGTTTACTCGATGTCCAAATTTATGGGCAACCTAAAACACAGTGAAATATATTATATTTATTATAAGACTAATTAGAAGCTTAGTACTTTTCCGTACATTTGCGTATATGTGACGCAACAAGAATATTTGTATATGAATGTAGGTACATGCGGCAAGGACGTATAAAAAACCTTATTAAAACTGAGATCTATTAGGGATCATGAAATTACATGTGTTCATTTTAAATATTTATTATGAGCTAATTTATTCTATATTTTTGCGCTACACTGAGAACTTTAATTAGTACTGTTACATTTGATAACTGCCTGCATATTCAATGGAGCCAATCAAGCAAAGTTAAATTATTACCTATATCACTTTTAAACAAAATATGCCATACATGGAATTCGCATGCCTAGCTAGAAACAAATAATAAATTTCAAATGATCATATCAGATAGTGAAATTAAATTAAAAAATAATCATCCTAACGTTACCGTGCAATTTTAAATTCTGAAAATATTACGTTTTCTGAAGCCTACGTCCGATAAGATAACAGCAATCTTACAATTACATGTTAAACTTGATAAAGAAATATCAAGCGTCATTATAAATATTAATTTAATGCTCTTGAAGTTTCTCTCGTACATTTAATTGTTTATTGGTTCAACATGCGAATGGAGGCGTCTATGTCTGTAAATGAAAAGTAAAAGAGGGAGATTAAATTCCAAGAGAGATACGCACGAAACAAATCTTCGCCACGTGGCATATAGTCATTTCTAATAAAAGATTAATCGTTTCGTAATATCCTGACATATTTTTTCCGAAAGCAAGTAACAAATTTGCAGTTACTCAAATGTTAACGAGCTTCCTTTCTTCCTTTTCTTATGGCTATATCCGCAAGGAATCCGAAAGGAATACAGTTGTAAGGTGTCGTTATGTTAATCAAAGTCATAAATAATTAATAACTTAATTACCTGTCGATTCAGGGGGACCACGTGCACAGTGTCCAGATGAACCCTAGCTTCAGTGGCGCCAGGCGTCACGGCGGAAGGTGACAGAAGACGAAGAGTACCTCTAGCCGTGACAGTATGCGTCGCGACGCTACATGATTCTTCTGCATAATGATGCCTCATCAGAAAAAAAGTACCATTTTCAAAGAAAGTATATTTCCTAATAACGTACTCTGGTCCTGTTCTAATTTCGCATCTGTGAACAAAAGTGAATAATCAATAATAACGAAAAACAAAAGAAGAAAAAAAAGTCTAATTTTCATAAAAGTATATTTTCAAACTGACAGTTTATATACTAAGTTTTCCATAATTTTCTCTTAAACCTAACCTAACCTACAAATGTGTAAACACATGAAAGTCCCCATAAGTTACAGACTAACAGAGGCATTCTTTATATTCTTCCTCTGTGAAAGAGTATCCTTTGTTTAGGTAAGGCAGCATATACAGATAGAATATTTAGAACAAGATCCTTGAATACTCAAGCACTGTGTTTCGTCAAAGGATCAAGGACCAACGTCCGAAGACTTCAAAAGTGAATTCATAGGGCTGAAGGAATGTCAGGCCCAAGTGGGTCTATGGTGTTCTGCAAAATTTCGGCCTCGCCCGGAACTATGCACAAGAATCCTGTATCGACGACATAAAATGGGACCCAGACAAAAAGTAAGAACGACCATGTTCGAGAGACTCGCTAAGAAAGTTCCTGTCATAAATAACTGAAGTGTCTTTTCTGTCATCTTTACGAGAAGGAAGTCTCCTACCTACATCATAGGAAGGCAAGAATACCTAACCTGAAAGATCATCCATCACGTTACTGGCATATCAAGTGAAATCATTCCTATGTAATCTGAGGGTTAATAATTCGTAAAAGTATTAATCAAAATTACCTCTTGTAAATCAATTATACGATACATCAATTTAGAGATACATATCCGATAAATCAATAGAAATCGATACTTGTCAGATTCCTCGATTAAATTCTTCAGAGAGTAAAATATAGTTTCGAATAACAGCACGAACGTTCCAATATAAAAAAATCTTGATTTGTAAAAAAATTATTTTTTATTTTTCATAAATTTCAGTCTGTCAGATACTTTGGAGATGACCAAGATGCTTCTGGAAGATAACTATTCCCAAGATATGTTGAGATAAATATTTTTCATGAATATATTCATATATATATGCAAGATCTGATGGTAAGGTAATTGTGACTTACTCTTGCGATAACCACGTGGCGTACAAACGAGATGGCGTGTTATCCGCAGCGGTTGCACGATCGGCCAAGATTGTTTCCTTGATGGCGGCCTCGCACTGATCACCAGCCCTGTCCGGGTTCCATTCGGTCGTACCCAAGGAACACGTTCCTGCAACGTGAAAAAACAAAGGCCGCTTTGGAATATGGACCGAGATGCAATGATAAATTCGTGTCATATCTCCCGCTCGGATTCTCTGTGTCGAGCACCTCATGGGGTCCGTAGGGTCCATAGGGTTCATGGGGTCTCTATCGGCAGGTAGGACCCCAATGCCCACACGCTGGGTCTACCTTGGAGATTTAGGGCCTGACAGATTCGTAAAAGATAAATACCCAGCTATATTGGATTCTCTCGGTCTCCAGGACGCCACCCTCTGCTACCTGGACAATCCAAGCAAGGCCCAGGTGGCGAGCATTGATTCTGAACGATAAGAATTTTCCTTTTGGGACCGGTGTCATTTTTGTCATTCTCTACTCTTTTCACAATTCCTTGGAACCGATGCCAAGCAGTGAAAACGATGCCGCAACATTTTGGGTCTTACGGTAACACATTTTAACTACGTTGAACATGCCACAAGGGAACTTTTAAAAATTCCCACCAAGAATACATTTTTCTTTTCAGATTTGGACAATGGAAACAATTTTCCCGAATGCTGCTAAATTATCCTCTACACACGAGACACATAAGCCGAGTCTCAGAACGATCGATTCGCCAAGCTATGAAATGGCAACTTTGTCAAAAATTCTCGTAAATTTGAAATTACACAAAAATGAGAAAACTTACTGTGAGTATCCATTTGGTAAATATAGGAAGTAGATGTAATGAAAATTAATGACCCAAACCCTTGTTCTAGGGTTACAGTGGGGTCTGGCATAAGGCGTAGTCGACTGGAAATACAAATCCTTGGAAAAGAAAAAAAAAACCAGTCTGAGGGACTGTCGCTCTAATGAAAACAGGGGAAAAAGAAACGAGTGCATCGTATATCCAGAAATGCAACTGCAGCCACGAACGACTCCTAAGCGTTCTATTCCCACGACTGTTTGATATTCGATTGCATCGGCTTCCTCGCTTTTTCTTTCGTTCCTTCTGGCTCTCTATCTCTTTTAATCACACAATTTTCTCTCTTCTCCCTCTCTCGCTTCACCTTTCCTTCCTCTTATTGCTATTGTTCCAATTGGTATTCCAGCTGAATCGAATCTGCCTCGACGTCCCTTTACGACGCACGTGCAGTTATGCATCTTCACCGATCTTCGACAATGCATCCACCTCTTTTTTTCTTTTTCGAGTTCCTGATCTTATCTATCTGCTTGACTGTTAACAGGTTGACAGAGACGCGGTAGCCACTTGTTCAAAACATATTTAGAACTGGTTCGAGTATAGTGTATAACGTACCATGTCAAATTGGTATATATAGCACAGAGCTAACAATTGTAAAAGTTGATCTACCATTTTTGGAAGGAGCTACAGCAGTTAATTTACCTTGAATGGCGAACTTTGATTGAGCCAAGTACGAATGTTGAATTGTAATTCTTCGATTGGATTCGATAAAAGGTATGACTGACAGGATATAATTACTTTTGAGATTAAAAAATTAATACTTGATTGTATTTCAGATAAACTTCACGTGGTAGATACATATTATAAAAATTCAATCGAGGAGTCTTACTCGTGTACCAGGGGAATCTTACAATTAATCCAATTCGATCGAGTATAATGGCCAAAGACAACAGTCAGAGTCTGACAATCAAAAATAGAATGACTAGAACCGTCGCGATAAATAGATCAAAGACCGTGCTTAAAGCGTGCTTAATTACAGGCAATGGAACCAATCGAAGTAGCTAGTTGGTAATAATAGAGATCATTCAAAAGAATTAATCAGCAGTATTGGTCGCAATCGATTATGTTAAAATTCAAAGTAAGCTGTATACCTTTATAATCTTGATTTTTCGTTTAAAAAGGTAATTTTGAATTTTCGCCTATTTAATTATTCATTTTATGTTTTAGCACTCAGAGGATACTCACCCATCAGGATCAGACGAAGACTCAGGAGAATTATCCGTGAATCCTTCATCGTGGTATTCACTGACAAATAATTGATCCGGATGTTAATTAAGAGTGAGATAACATAATGAATCTTTGGAAACCACAGGAAAAACGCAGCTGCAGTAGCTGCGCAACGACACGACGCACGTTGCAACTGCACCGAATAGACTAAAGCGAATGAGTACTCTAAGGAACTCTCGTCCCTTATAGAAGCCTACCCTACCTTTATGTAGTTTCGTCCCCACTCTCAAGGCCCCTCATGAATGTTTGTAGGCCCAAAAACCAAAAGCTCTCCTTTCGCTTGAAGCCCTTTGAGAACCCGCTGTGAGGGTCCGGGCATCTTACATAGATTTATATACCCCGTGTTTCGAGATTCTCTGGAACCCATTTTGTACCGGGCACCACTGCTTCCTCTTAGGTCGTATACATACGAAAGCACGTTGGTGGTCGGGATTTTTTATTTCTTCTTTTGGACTTTAACGTCTCTGTATACTTAAGGAAATTATACTTCCGTTAGACAAGTTAATATCGTTTGGATTGAAAATTTCATTCTCAGTCATTTTACGAATTTATGATCTCCGTTTGAATATTACCAAAATTCATGTGCAATTATTTAATTATTGATTTGAAAATTAATGTATACCGATATATTACAAGCGATACAGAGCGATTTGACGTGGAAAAATATTTCAAATTTCATAATTTTAGTACAGCTTTGCCTAACGTTTTATTACGGTCTATTTAGAATATTTGAAAAAATCGATTCCTAGATTTCAAAAATTGAGTCATTCCCTCGATTGTGATAGAACTGTAGATTTATGTCCGTATAGAATTTACGCTTGTAAAACCTTTTTTCTTTTTTTTCCGTGGGACACCCGGTAGGTGCATTGAGGTAAGTCTTTGCTTAAGCTCAGCCTAACTCGCACCTAAGGGAGGTTTCTGCACAATGCTTCAGTCGGACGGACAACTATATCCTAGGATGAGAAAGATGCGAGGGTAGAAAGTCTTTGTTGGCTCCAATGGGCATTGTTAGAAATTTTCGAGTTTGACTCTCGCTCGACGATTTGCGACGCGTGAATAGATTCTGATTGAGAAATCTTGCCTGGGTGGTCACTCGAGCTGAAGGGGAAAAAAGGGAAGAAGAAAAAAAAGAAAACATCTGCCAACCCCGCAAAATTTAACGGCCGTTTAGTGGAAATTGATTTGAACGCGTTATACCTTCTACCAAAATGGGATCATTGTTGTGACTCTGAACTGACTTTGTCATTCTGTGGTCTCGCTCTACTAACTCCTGCACAAATATGTATATACTCCAAATTTGCTATATCTAGAGACATGATCCATCACAGAAATTCTTCAACTCATATATTTTTCAGATATAAAAGTAAAAAGAAGATCCACCGTTGAATTTGATTGGGTCAATGACCCGGTACTCGATGGATGTGACCAAGAAACACGAATGGCTATCTATTATTCGAAGATTGGCCACGATCAGCATAGTATCAAAACATAGAGTAGTACGTGTTGCTGCGTCAAGAGATATAGAAAGAACGCCAAGCGGAGTGATTGGTGTCGTTGAACAAGAAGTAGAAGTGGGTTTGTGTCTTGGCTAAAAAAGAAACTTAACAAACCGTTAGCGGGTAAATTGTTTGCCGAACTTTTCGCCATTGAAAATAAATAATTACGGAGTTCAAGAGACTCCGGGAATTCCGTTTAAGTAAGTCTGAGCTGTTCAGCGTATTAGGATTCATTCTAGATGGACGTTCTAGATTTTACTCGAATGTTCTAGAACTTCGCTTTTGTTCCATAATTTGATCTTGGTGAAGAACTGTTGAATTTTGTACATTGATAAATAACTAAAAAGTGACTAGATTTTGTAACAAATATTTCACGAATTAATATCTAATTAATAACTCAATATCTGTGTTGTCATTGGAACGATCAATAATGTAACGCGTGTCGCTCCTTTGAGAATTAATAGATATTTGAAAAATAAATTTTTTTTATTTTACACATTTCATCCTAATGTGGTCCAGATCTATTCGAGATAATCAAATGTTCCAGATTCGCAGCCGCTTACCAGGGGCGTATTTTTGAGGTCGCCACCTTCCACTGTGTTCTCCATAATGGCCGAAAGAATGAAAGGAAGGAAGAGGTTCACATTGGTTCGGTTTGAATTTACTCTTGGCTGGTGCCATCGAGTAAGAGCCACTTCTTGGGCACTTTCATTGTTCTTCTATCTGCCAGAAGTCACCAACGGTCTCGAACGTTGTCCGTGGAAACTTCGATTATTATACAACAGTCCAGAGCAAAAGAAAATTATCCTTTTCTTGCACGAGGTTTTGCAAACGTTTGTTACGTCTCGGGGGGATCGTGAGGAACCGACAGCAGTTTCGAACGTTACGATCTTTCCACTGGTTGTCCAGTGTCGACAGTGTCGTGGATTGGTATAAAGCAGTTCACTGGATCGTTTTTATTGATAAGACCTATCAGCATCCTGGATCCTCCGGCATAGACAAGGAAATTAATAACGTGAGTATTCACTCATTTTTATACTCCTGTACCATCGACATGGAATTGTTTACATTTATAATTTCGCCTGTGACAGATAATAACGTGTAATCAGTAAACTTTATCTAATATTAAAAAATAATTGAAAATTAACCTTAAATTTCGAATACCGTTCTACATTATTTTATTGACTGAATAAAAATTCAAGTGAACCTTATTTACTTGATAAACAAGTCACGCTTTAAACCGAATGCAGTATTTTTTGACACATAAATTTTGAACGTCACGTGAATAAGGTGTTTGCTTAATGGCTAAAATTTGACAAAGTTTGTCAAAACTTTCAGTAACCTATCGCGAGTGTGTGACAACACAGGAATCTTGTTTTGTACAAAGATATTACAATACAAGAAAGGGTGTCAGTGCGCAGCCGATCGATCATTCCGTGAAGGACCGAACAGTGTTGAAAATCCAAACTAAAATTCTTTGGAGAAATTGCAAAATTCCCGCCATTCGGATCAGCCAAGCGCAAACAAGCCGAGAAGCGAATCAACATTGAATTGAACATTAGCATATAAGAGCGAGACTAGCTGACTCAACATTATCAAAACTCTCATATATATATATATATATATATATATATATATATATATATATATATATATATATATATATATATATATATATATATATATATATATATATATATATATCAAACAAATGAAATCATGTAAATATAAAGATAGTCATTAACAAAATTCTCATTCGCACATAGTGAAATTATAAATTTAAATACGCGCATAATTTTCTCTTATAATTAAAAGTCACTGATCTCTCGTCATAAGAAAACAATAAAAGTTATCACACGAGCTATACTTGAGCGTCATAAAAATATAAAAGTAAAAGCAATCGTATCTCTATGTAATTTCTAACCTCTTATAGAATATCACGAGTCATTAAGAGATCATCGATTTAGAATTGAATGTACCATTAGCATAGTACAGTATCCATCTCTTCACTTGTTTGCCAATCTGTTCCCTCGTTCTGCGCAGGATGTACGCGTTGCATACGAATCGTATGTAAAACTGTTAAGACACCACGTATGCACGTGCGTACATAAGAGACAAGTGGAATTGCATGAGAAACAAGAATCCGCAATTCAAATTACAATCGCGGGAAATGTGGAAATTCAAACGTCGTTATAAATTGGTCGTTTGACGTTGCCGTACGAATTTTAACACGTGTCTTGAACAGCCCGTGGAATTAGATAGTCTTAGGAACAAAAAATTCTCACAGAAAGACATTTCTTATATAAAAGCCATTGAACCGACGTATCCCCGACATTGACAAGAGGCCAAGTATAATATAGAATAAATGACTCTTACGGTAACAAAAAAGGTTCTTCGATTCGATCTAGAAACGCGTGATTTTATTCGGATTAAATTCAACAACACATCTGCGCATGCGTGGAACTGCTTTAGTCGTTTCTCTACAATGTTTTTATTTAGAATCGAATACACGCAAATTGTAACGGTTAACAATTAGCCATTTTAATTCGCAAAATTATTCCGGAACGTTGCCAACGTTAAGTACATGAAAATTAAGAGGCTAAATTCTACGTAAAATATGGGTGAAAGTAGTTTGATACGCTGAGACTATTTACAACGCACTCGGAACGCAAGTCAGGAATAAAATGGTGTAAAAAGATGATACATCAGGCAGGAACAATTAGCCTTAATTAAAGTCAAGTAATTAATACCACAGTGGTATAGACAATGAATTTTTTAATTTTCTTAATACAATAACGTCACCGCGTTTACTATATGGATATTGAGCTTAATTATCAGCGTATCAGTCAGCTGTTTCTATCTACCTGAATATCTATAGTTTCTAAGTGTTTCTACAGTACAGTATCTACACTCCTGGTAACTGCCAGGCGCGTCTTATATCTAGTTTCTTGGCACGCAATTCGCTTGGACGCTTCAAATTAAGCGAGTCGTTGTCTCCCCGTTCAAATTATGCTTCCTAGTTTCACTGGAGGATTGTCGTTGACGAGTAACGTAGCAAGGAAGACGCATTCATGCTCTGTTTCAGCAGGCGCGAATTCACCGAGTTTCTACAGGATGCGACTCTCGAGATATTTTAATGGCGCGTGCACATAGACCACAAGGCGACGACCCAATATGCGACGTATGAACTCTTGATACTAGAAACTAATACAGGTCTTACTGAAATTGTTCTACCTGTCTGCGTAGAGCATTCAGTACATTTTACCAATGTTACAAGTGTCAATAAGTCTTGTATACGATAGCAATAACTATATAATATTGTTATTTGGAAAATAATCCACTAAATAATACTTGTCACGAGGACAGTAAAGGAAGTTAATTATTTCTAGGTACCTTTATCATGCGATTGACAGTTCTTATTATTTTTTATATTGAATGGTTAAATGCGAATTTTTAATGATTAAAGCAACACGTCAGCTACGTTATTTATGTCTTATTTTGTATATTCTTAATGCGAGTCTCTCTGCGGAAGTGTAACTTATGTAATGGCGGATGTCACTACACGCTGCACCCTACAGACCATGGCCAATTTAATTCGGCTTTCTTCCTTGGCATGAATATCTTTCTGCGTGACTTTTCATAATGAATGATTCTTCTTCTTTATATAATGTCACTTTGATGTAGAATGCAAGTGAGGCGCTGGATGTCAATTACATTGTGGCTGATTGTCTCGGGTGCATCGCAGACGCACGCTTCCATTGGCGGGTGGGAAGGATGCAGTGGAAGACTGGAACGTGCACTAGATGCACTTCACAGGGAATCATCGCGTAGAATTCGAATTGACGACGAGGACGCTGGTATAATTTATCAGCAGGAATTGCGATCAGCTCCTCTGGAAATGTCTGTGTCTCGTATTGCTGTTAAGGTACCAGTCTCCATTATGCTGGTTCAATATTCTTCTTTACTTTCAGATTGTTAGTAGCTCATTGATTGTATAAGATAAAATTGTTTTTAGTTACCACAAGATTTGAGGGTCAGAGGAAGTCCATGGGCTCACGTGGATCGTTGCATTTATGAACCAAACAGCAATTCTCTTGAGACACGTTTAGTTTTCAATGATTTATCAGTTTCCGGTTTGGTATCCCTGCTACCAAGGGATTATCGTGCTCCAATACCAGCTGAATCCTGTAGAATGACTTTGAGATTACGTCGAGCCGGTATAGAGTTCTACACAAGTCCAATTGCAAGGGGCAGAGGCCAAATGCGTATCCGTACCGAGTCCAGCTTCTTAGAGCCAAGATTTGCCTCTATTTATGCATATGGCTGCCGGCCTACTCGACTGGATAAACAAATTAAAAGGCAGGATAAGTGGCCGCCACAGCAACCCTTGAATACCCAGCATACTGACGATGATGAGGTATTTCTCTTTATATAAATAAATAATATTCCAAAATATCCTTTTTTGAGAAGTTTCCTCATGTGTCAATCATGAATTTTGTAGTTGACAGTGGTGCCAGTATCTCCGAGTGATAATTATGAGGCTGCTGAACCAAGAGAATTGGTAGGTGCCTCCAAGGAAGTAGATGTCGCAATTGCTAATGAAAGCAGACAAGTTCGTGCACTGTACATGCCAGAAGCTCGTTTAGGTCTCTGGAAAAAGAATGATTGGATTACAAGACCATCTACAAGGACAAAACGATCCACCAAGGATATAACATCGGATTTAGACATTGAACCTGATACAAAGACATACCAAGCAGAGTCCACCAGGAGTCGAAGATCTGTCGAGGACATTACACCAAGAGACTTCGCCTTAGCTCTGGCTAAGAAGGCTAGGTCACTTCTCATCGACAACCAGAATACGTCTCAGGTCGTCAATGGCAACCTGGATTCGTCGATTTCGCTTCACGAAAAAGATCCACCGTCCACCAAGTCTAATAACGTGGATGATCACGTCTACCTGAAGGCAGAATCCATAACAAATTACAAGCGGGAAACTACGGAGACACCTATTCAAGAGAATCCTGGGGAAACAAGAGAGCTGCTACTGGAAGAGGATATTGATGAGGTACCTCTGGCTGCTTTGGAATCCGAAGGACGTGGTTGGCAGTCGAGGGAAGGAGTTGCCAGAGAAATGGAGGACGTCTTCCTCAGAGGTGCCAGTCAGGCTCTCACCAGCTATATCGAAAGACAACTTCATCCTGCTATCAAAGAGACCCTTATGCTTTCTATGGGATACACAATTAGTTATGGATAAGGTAAAATTATTGTATTTATTTTGAATGGTTATATCGACATGATTTTGAATCGACATTCATATTTTTTTTTGAAGAATAAATTATTTGGATAGACACATGAGCCATTATGTGCGTTTATTTGTATCGTAACGCGTATGTGTTACAACAATGGGATTTGTTAACTGTTTATTTTTGCTCAATACGTTCGTTTAGTTTCACGAAAAAATTCCTTTCTAACTCATTTGACTGAATTTGCACTGTTTCTGAAATTTCACGTTCACTCCTCTTTGTTAACAACACTGAAACTACACTTCAATTATTTTGTATATTTTTCTTTTTCAAATGAATATGCTAACATGTTCAATAGTATATTACTAACTCTACCATAGAAATCAATAGGTCTAGAGACTAAGAAAGTGCAATGTACTATTATCAACATAAAATAGATATTTATTTTAGATTAGATATATCTTGGATTGTATTCACTGTGTTGTTTTACAAATATAACTTAGCGAATATTTTTTTCAGTTTCTGTATAATATTATTAACAAAATTCTACTAACAGATGTGGAACATAACTTATTAAGTCTCTATCATACAAAAGTTATAAAATTTTTGGTAAGCAAAGGGAGGACAGATCTTTATATAGTTATACAATATGGACCCCACACCTTAACAAATTATTAGATAGGAACTTCAATGAAACAAAATTAAACATTAATATTAAATTTTCGAATAAATATCCTGGCTTAGATTCATAATGACAAATGGTTTTTGTATATAACAGATTATTCAGATAGATTTTCCTTCCATAAATTAGCATCGCATATGAAACGGTATTAATGTTATTCATACAAGTAAATTACACTAGCAAAAGTACCACAGATACAGAACAAATAAAATGTCCAAATATACACTTAAATTCATTAATATTTTTAATTATAGTATTCGTACAATTAAACTTTATGGATGAACTTCATCTTTCTAACAGACTTAATAAACAAGAATATCTATCGAATATGAGAAAATCAGATCTACAGCAGTCTAGTATACAAGTATGAATATTATATAACCTTTTTATTCAAGAATTTTCATCAGCGTAGGTATGTTAAAAGAAGAAGAACTTGTTCATAAACTGTAAAATGTAAAGCTGTAGTAGCAGCAGCCTTCAGCTGACTTGGCCACAGACCTTTGAAAAGACCCTTCATACCTTCTTCCTTCGCAGTGGTGATTAAACAATGTACCATTCCCTCACACCGAAAGAATTTGCCAAAACCTTTCCTACCATGTTCGAAGCCTTGAATTTGCAATCTTTTTCTGGATAAATCTAGAGGATAAACAACCGTCTTGGCTATGAAACCAGCTGTACTACCCGCTATTAATGAATTAACAATCCTTGTTGTAGACTCATCGAAATGACGTTTATACAAATCAGTAAAAAATTCGTAACAGGCAAACTGTAGACCCGTGTGTGGTGCTATCTGCAGTAACGTGGGCCATAGTCCACGAAAAAATCCTCTGTAAGATTCGGCTCGCAAGATTTCCCTACAAAAAAGAACATCCTTTTATTTTATCAGAATTGATTACAGCTTAAATTATGCTTACTGATGAGAATGCAGGATTCCCTGATACACTCGATGATTTGATGACTGTGCAACTAATCGTGTTCTCACTGTATCGAATGGAAAGGATGTTATTGTTGCTACCGTACCAGCAGCTGCACCAGCTACAAAACTCGTTGAGTGCTTCCAATCATCCACTGGCAATCTATCAGACAACTTCATAAACATGTGATAGGAGTAGAACTGTAAAGTAATTGAAAGCAATCTGTTTATGTGAGATGAAATAAAGGAGGTTCAAAGAAATAAAGTTATTTTTAATTTTTACTTGACTCATGCCGTAGACAATGGATAATAATTGTGCTGGAATATGACCTTTCCATAATGCTGATATACCTTCTTCTTTTAGAATAAGATACACTGCTTGATGCATAGATTGATACTTGCTTACATGATGTTCAGTTATTGGCTCCACTTGTAACTAAAAATATAAAATAGAAATTTATAGTGAATAATAGCTGTTAATCATGTTTTTCACTCTCCCAATGTACCTGAAACCTGATTTTTAAAACGTCTAATGGTTGACACAAGAATCTTGTTACACAGCCACTTACAGCACCAGCAATTGCATAATCAGAATTGGGAGCTGAATTTGTATTGGAATCTCCCTTCGTATTATATAGCATTATGCCAACCTATTACAATAATCATATTAACATATATATAAACTAATCAATATAGGTATAAAATTTCATCAATATTATGATCAATTAATCTTTTAAAGCTTCAAGAATATAATGTAATCACTCATTAATCTTAACTCTATATTATTTCTTATAAGCATATTGCTACAACAGTTAAACTATAACATAAAGGTTTGACTGCAAAATGTGAAAATACTTTATTTACTATCAAACAATGTCTTCGATGGCTCACCATCGTCATACTATTTATCATTCATTTCATAAGAAAAACGTTGTTGAGACCATACTAAATTGCATATTGAATACAAAACCTAGCTTAACTCTAAATAACCAAATTAATAAATGAAAGGACAAGAAACCAACAATATAAATTGACAGCTAAGCAATGTGAATCATCCAACTAATACCTGAATATTTATCATGATAATATAAAATAAATGGCACAACCATCACACATGTTCTAACTGAAAATACATTATCATAAATTGCACACAAAGTCCAAGGAATATTTATAAAGTCTTATCAAACAGGTGATTACAGGTAAACATAAGATATTTACAGTGTATCCTATGAAATTATGAATTGCACTTTTCTAATACACAGTTTAAACATACAGTACAATAGTTTCAAAAACAGCCTTAACGAGTATTAAATCAGTATTTTAACTGCGCCGCATACAATTGCTATCACAACAAATCTTATTGACAACAGAATAAGCAATCGCACCAGTGAAAAGCTTGGCGTCTTCTACACATGGAAACACTAGACTTTAGCACTTATTTCATTAAGTATGACAAACACAACTGAAATAGTTTATACTAAAATAAGTTACGCTGCCTAACAAGAAGACAGTTGCCACAAGTCGGTCTTCTTTAGGGTTTTAAATAGCCACATTATACGTAAAATAATTGAGCGAATATGTAAGATAGGTTGTGTGCCGGCAGGCGCACATCCAATCAAATACACGCGGCAAAATTGATTTATACACTGCACTGGTGTAATACCAACATATGGGAATAACTGATCTATTTATTATCAAAAATGATAGCGGTTTGCCTATCTACAAGCGCAACTGACTTTCCATTTATCATTTTGTTATTTGAAAACCAAATATAGGGCTTACGCAATTATAATATAAAAACCTGATGCAATTTTGTTGAACACAATCCATCTATGAATGACATCAAATGTAAAAGGTTTTTAAAATTGATGATTTTATATTTAAAAAGTAGTTCATATTTCTATCATATACTTTATTCGCGAATGAACTGGCCGCATCCAGCATTTGTAGCGACGCAGCCATATTTTTTTAACGCCAGCGACATCGAGTAACAATGAACTATACAGCAAAAAATAATAAAATAAATTATTCATTCAACTTGGATGCGGCAAGTTCAATTTGCTAATAACTTCATAAGATATTCTATGTATACGCATTTACACTAGTAATCCCGTTACGACGATCAACATAGCTGGATTAGTCTACTAGAATTCGTCTTGTTCGAAGCACTGATTTTATTACTGAACGTTATACAGGATTTCCTGACTATTAAAATTATATAAATTTAATACCGCTTTAATCTAATTTCTTTTGCATTTATTGATAACAAAGTCAAGATTGCATTTTTTTTTAATACGATGGTGTTAACAGTATTACGAATTATTCTATTATTCCTGTGTAACAATGCCGATGCATTTTCTGCGAGTAACTTGAAGTTCTCTCTTCCTAATGCCATGCATCCAGTATTAGGGGACATTGGTAAGATATTTTTGTAATTTTTACATTAAATAATTAAGGTAGTACAAATATTTTAGTGCAAATTATACCCGAGGAACTAAAACTGCTACAAGAATCCTCTCAAGATCCGAAAGTACGTCCTGGTTTATTTCAAGGCGACATGGCCATGTCCAGTGAAGTAAGATTGAGTTGGTTGCCTAATAATTACCAACTTTTAATTAAACAGTTATTCAACCTAATTAATATACCTCTAGAATCTTGATTACTGGCGGATAGGCATACGCTGGGATATCTTTCCTGATAAGCTTTGGAAAAATCGGACAGTTCCTTACGTTATAAGTCCCTTGTACGGTACATATATTTGTTATAATTATTAACAGAATCACTAATTGTAATATTAATTAATAAAACTGCAAGCTGCAATATCTTTATAAATATACCCGATTATGTGACGATATACAAAGCCATAACTTATATGAATTACATGACATGTGTGAAATTTATACCTTGGAACGGCATAGCACCGGATTTCTTATTGATTTGGCCCATTAAATATCCAAAAGGGTAAACAACAACGATTGATTTAAATATATCTTAATCTAATTTGATATCAATTTAATCCAGTTGCTGATCCTTTGTCGGTAAATTCGGCGGAGCACAAGTACTCTCCTTGCAACCACCAGATGAGAATGAACCTAATTGCCTTGGTGACGAGGGAAAAGCAATTCACGAATTGATACACGCATTAAGAATATTTCATGAGCAGAGTCGAGCTGATAAAGATGCATTCGTCAAAGTGCATTTAGAGAATATAATTCCTCGTAATTAATTAAACAGTCTAATTAAAATTACAGATACGCCATTGACATATGATTACCTTTAATCGTAAATTCGCTTGTTCCACAGAATTTCGCATCAACTTTAATAAGCAGTCATTGGAGAACACGGCATACAGCTATGAGTATGATTACAAAAATATTATGCATTACGGATGGAATTTCTTCAGTGTAAATCCAAAGAAGCCAACATTGACACCAACAATGTAAAAAAAAATACTGGGTCAAAGAAAAGCTATGACTAAAACGGATTGTTTGAAAGTAAATGATTTGTACGGATGTCTAAAAAAGCCAGGCCAGGCACGCAGGTATTACAATATCTGCAAGACACGTGGTTTGTAAATATTTATGAATGACATTAAAAAGATATTAATTCTCTAGTAATCCAGTTGTTTGAACTAATAATACCTGGTTCTAAAATATCTTAAACTCTTTAGGTACTTCCAGATGATTCACCATTGTTCCCACTAGCTTCTATTAATTTTTTCAATTCCATCTTGATCGATTCAATTTCATTAAAATCCACGCAGGGCAACGTCACTTCTGAGAATGGCCAGATATCATCATTCTCATCAGGATATGTCGGGTTCCAATAATTATCTATGAGAGTCTGTAGACTGTCGCCCCAACGACTGTTTAGGATGAACTCCAGGGCGGTATCCTGTGGCAGAAGAGGATGACCATCCTCCTTGAGAGATTCTAGCTTCTCCATGAAGCGTACCTGTAATATACAATATATTATTTAATAATGAGATATTTAAAAAAGAATTAAAAAAGATGAAAAAACTCACAGTACTGGTAACGTTACACATCCTTAGCTCGTGATATAATCTGTAAAGACCGACGACTGTCTCCTTGTAAATCTTTGTAATATCTTCAAAATTATCTTTCACGTTGACTAGAGCTGTATCGGCATCAGTAAGATTGTACGTGATGACTCTTATTGCGTACCATCTATCGAAAAAACGATTTCTCACGTCGGTTTGAACAGGAAAACACCTGGAGACACCAAGGCAATTGGGATGAATGTTTTGGAAGTTTAGACACAGTTGAAAAATTTCATCCTCTGAAGATTCGATCAGATGCAGAACGTAATCCGGGTAAACAAGAAGAAGTCCGCTGACGGTGTCTGGAAATGTCTCTTTTGCGAACGCTGTGTAGACTTTTAATATCTCTTCGGCAGGCACTGTAATTTTTGCACAAAATACCAAACGACAAGTATCCAAACGTCTACCGGATCGCATAAAGTCGAGCACAGATCGTCTTTTCGGTTCCTCCATTTTTTTCTGTATTAGTTTGATCAATAATGATAGAAAGCTCGTTACGTAACGAATATATACATTGCTCATCGCATTAGAAATTTGAAAATCAGCGCTACATACATTTCTCGAGAATAGTTTTATATACAAAAATAAGGTACAAACACCACTAATTCTGTATTGTCTTATAATTAAGTAAAATGATGTATAATGAATGTAAGGAGATATGGAAAATTGTCAGAGAAGGTAATTAAAGATATTTTTATCTGAAGAAATTGCATTTTATTCCTTTTTCTTTTATTGTTGGTACTTCAATTGTGACATACATTTACGTGCATACTAGCTTTTAGGATAGTGTTGCACACGGCATGAAAAGATGAAATGAATTTCAAACAATAGAGTATTTTAATTTAAAGACTTTAAAGGATCACTGCGACCCGTCAGATCAGTTGTACCTTAGAGCTCAGACGCTTTGGTTATATTTAAACTCGCTTAGCTCAAAGGGAGCTTTACTCTCTCTCTATGACCAAAAGCGATCCGACCATTCCACAATCTTGGAATGAATACTGAAGTTTGTAAATGGTCCATATGCCTCACTCGGCTCCTAACTATATTAAAACGATGCTCATTGATCAAACTCAACAACCCTGCTGATAGTACATAAGTAACGTCATCGTATAATCCCCATCAATCTTAGTATCCAAAAATAACGCGTTCTCGCAACATTCTTCATTCGGTATGAAAGGAGTCTGCAAGTGTCCATCGTCAATTAAAACATCAAACGTAGATGTTTCTTCTTTTTATTTTTCAAACATATTTTTCATCATAGCAAGATCAGCCCGCGTGGCTTTTGCGTAAAATCTAAAAGAGCATCGTCTAGTTTGCAATGAAAGAAAAAAAAAAAGTAAGACCGTCATTTGAACTAACATAAATTCTGTTTTTCATTTTAGAACCCACTGCGCACGTTCTAATTGTAACAAAAGCTAGAGGGGTAGGTGTGGGATTATAAATAAAAAAAAAAAGATATCTTGGGATAAAGATTACGGCCGAGCGATCGACTGGCGTGTTAGGTTGGTTACTGTCCGACCGTCAGCGGGGACTCGGTTTCTAATCACAGTTTAAGGGAAATTGTAAGTTAAACTAGGTCCCCTGCAGGTCGACTTCGGTATACCGTTTCGGCCATCAATTTAAAATTGACTAAATCAACTGTAATTACTGTATCCGTTGCTTCGGCCATTATCGAACCGCTTGTGCGAGCCGGAAAAGGTGTTCTCCCTTCCACGTCCACCACCACCATATCCCCAACGATCTGGCAAAGAGTAAAGGGTAGTTAGTAAAATAGACGCTAGATGTCAGCAGTCTTGGTAACTTTCAATCGATACCATATTCACAGCTATACGTATTCTTTCTTTTTTGTTCAATTCAATGAAAACAAATGGTACTCACTCCTGCCACCGTAGCCACCGCCACCACCTCCTCTAGCAGCCAGCTCGGATAGCTTGGGGTTGATGACTTGGTTGGCCTCCTGGAGGACGTTGATCAGATCTTTAGCCTGTCGGCTGTTCTGTGGTGTGAAGAAGGCATAGCTGGTGCCCGTGCTTTGCGAGCGACCCGTTCTGCCGATTCTATGGATGTAATCTTCGGACGATGACGGATAGTCAAAGTTGATCACGTACTTGACGTCGTCGACGTCTAAAGAAATAACAAAATTGTAGTGGATGCTCGACAACTTAACTATAGACATATCTTATCTGGAATTTGGATGGATGTTTGAGATTCTGATTTGAATCAGAACAAAATGGACGTAATGGCACGCTCACGGTGTATACGCACCGGAATTAAATTCACGAAAAAAAAATCACGAACCGCTCAACGGTTTTTTTTTTAAATCTTTACTTCTCGAGTCTTTTGTTCTACTGATGGGTGATTTATTTTTTTCTCGTCCTTGGCGTGAGTGCACCCTCGAGCAACAGACATGACAAAAGTTCCTTGGGGGAAAATAAAGTCATAATACGCCATTTTGCGTGACAATGAAGAAAAAGACAATTTTTCATAAAATTATGTGAAAGTGAATGATTCGATATGCACTGGAGAATTGAATTGACATATATATATCTATATACAGAAGTGAAAAACAAAGGCATTGAACATTTTGAAGGAAACTAATTGACACCGAAGGAACATGAGAAGTCTCCTTTTTGGTTTTTTGACTTTGACTTGTGCAAGCGAAGAGCAAATTATTGCATGAGTTACAGAAAGATAAATCTATTTCTCGAGATGCACAAACCATTTAACAGGTTGTATGCAGCTAAATCCATATACATACACGGCATAGACATGACACATTAGCACACACAAAAATATCTAAATTTAAAAGGTGGCATTAAAACCAGCAACAGTCCTATATACTGGCATTACTGTCCTTTTGCCATGTCCATGTGAATGAGCAACGTATACTATTAAGTCAGACTCTTATCATTCAACAGACGCAATTTCACCACGTACACTGACAAGTGGCAATAAAAAAACATTAACAAAAATAACTAAAAACCTTACGTCACCACTCAAAATAATAAATCCTACCACAAAAAAATTCAAAGAAACATTTTTTCTCGGGTACAAGTCCGCTAAGGTAATCTCAAGAACAAATAATCCAGTAACGTCAGACGAGTAACAGGTATAACTGAAACACGTAATGTCAAATTAAAATAAAACAAAAAAAATATTAAAAATTTAATCAAGACCACTCCCATGCCGTCACTACAGGCTGTCCAGTAGTAACCAAAAGTCAAAAGTCTCATAAGCATCTAACAAAAGTCGTAACGACGTCACGTGACAATAAAGAAAAAAATAATAAAAAGTTAACTGCGTCTGTCGATAAATCGCCGTCTGTTTTTATTAGGTAAAGGCTCAGATGTGTATGAATGTATGTTAGCTGCGTCGTGATAATACAAACCCTGTTACCGCTGAACATTGCATTCCGTGTGACCGCATACAGTGCCCCCCGGGGTGTGCTATTTCTTGAAATGCAAGTTCAGTTCGCAATGTCCTGTTCCTACACGCATCCCCATCGAGTAGCGATAGTAGCAAAATCAATAGATTGTTGTCTCGCACTGGCTGAGCGTTGGCTATAGTGTGTGATGGTTGGTACCATAACGCAAACCAGAGTTTTCTTTTATCCCGGAAGCCAACCAGCACGATGGTACCCGGGCACCACCCTACTTACTCGCGTGGTACACACAGGCTGTACACAGAGGCACATTTACGTACATACGAGAATATATACGCGCAAATATAATTTGCGCATGTACGTCGTCTATATATCGCTTGCATATATAGCTTTTCTAGAGCACAGACAGTGAGTGAGCTATGGTTCTTTTTTTTTCTACTTCGATCGTTCGCTCATCGCACACTCAACACAATCTGTGCACCATGTGCCTCTGAAACAAAGGACAACCAGACTGATTAACATAAATTATAAGATGCCCACACTTATCAACTAAGTAACATAGGTTTTTCAATTTTTTCTTTCTTTTCTTTAAAATCCTTTTAAAAGTTATCTCTAATACAGTATGCAAACGTCCCACCCGTGTTCAATGATCCTTTTCTTTTCACGGAGAGCCGTATTTTAAATCTATTCTCAATCCTTCGTCACGAGCCACTTTTGCATTGTAGGGCTTAGCTCTGAGAATGCATTAGAAATAGACTGCATTAGCACCTCGCTTCAAACGTATGTCCTCGTAACCTTTATCCCGGTGAAAAATCACTTTAATTGTATTAAACAGTGCTGCTATGGTGATTCAACGGTTCTTCCCCATTTCCTTTTAATGCTTATCCATATTTTTTAGTTACTAATCCTGTTTAATCTTTGGCCATAGCACGCGATAAAACATTACCGACAGAATATTATTGCACTGGAATCGAACCGTGCTTATGCCATAAGTATAAGGTAAAATTAAGCGCGCAGCTGAAATCGTGCAGACGTTAATAAGTATGAGTAAGTGTTTAAGAGCTATTATGCTAGAGTTACCGATTAACTAAATTATACATTATCAATAGTTAGGTAAACGACATAAACGCCGAGGTTCAGGTAAGAAAAACTAATGCTTTCTATTACGCCTGCTTTTAGAGCTAATGCAAAGTTTGAGAATATTTTGGACCGCAAATACAGGCATTCTCTAAGTTATTTAGTGCGCACGGGCGCCAATATGAAATTACACTAATTGGACTCTAATCGGACATCATCCCGGGTGTCATTGGCCGTCCTCCTACCCTACGTCGTCTCCACGACGAGGGATCCGGCATGTCACGTCTATCTTGGAGTCTCCAGAGTGCCAAGCACTGAGGGTTACGGAGCGACAGACGCACTTCCCAATTCCGTTGCGTACTGAAAATTCACAAGATTCAACCCTCATTTCGATTAAAATAATTATGGGAGGAATTCAAAAATCCGTTGGTGATTTGCATTGCGCAACGTCGAAAGGTTCTGCTGCTCCAAGCGCCGAGTTTCCAAGAGTGAGGCATCACTTCATATAACCAGTCTGTGCTACATCGCCACCCTTCCTAACGCTTCCTGACACGCGGTTCTTGCAAATTCCGCGCGACTCTCGCCATTCTTTCGTTATATTTACGCGCTTGCCATGCAAAATGTTTTGCGAAGAAATGATACAAAGTTTAATATCAACTATCTGTAAGACTCACCCAATCCACGAGCAGCAACGTCTGTTGCCACAAGAATGGAACCCTTCTTGTTTCTAAATTCTGAACAAAAGAAAAACGTGCAACGTTTAGCATTGTTACATTGTGAAATTGTCCTGCGCCCTGTAAACGCTTTGATTTTTAACCGCGATAAAGAGTAATATTACAAATTTGACGTTACCTCTAAGAACATAATCGCGTTCTTGTTGAGATTTGTCACCGTGCATGCACACTGCTGGCCATCCGTAGCGACGAATGTTCCTTGTGATGTTCTCAACCTTTTTCTTTGTTTCTACGAAAATAATTGTCTTTCCACCATCTTCGTTCACGTTACCGATCTCCTGAAGTAGCGTGCCCAGCCTATAACAAAATTTCAGTGCACTTGTTAGACTACCGTTCCAAATCTTTAATAAGCCTCTGTTCGAACATTCAAGTGATCAGTTCTTCTTAGAGGTTTAGCGGTGTATAAAATCATAAGGAGTCATTAGTCTATCTCATCATAATATAAGTTCTCGAAGGCATGTGAACAGTTGTGTAAAATAAGTATGTCGTACTCACTTTGATTCCTTCTCGTGTTCCTGGCAAACGTCAACGATTTGGAGGATGTTGTGATTGGCGGAGAGTGTGAGGGAGCCAATGTTCAATTGTGTGTAATCGGTAAGATACTCTTCTGCGAGGTTTCTAACTTCCTTGGGCCAGGTGGCTGACCACATGAGGACTTGTCTGTCTGGTCGAATTTGTTCAATAATTTTTCTAATTTGTGGCTCGAAGCCCATATCCAACATACGATCAGCTTCATCCAGAACTAGATATGTGCATCTACGTAAATTAGTTGTTCCACGCTCAAGGAAATCAATTAGACGTCCAGGTGTGGCTATGCAGATTTCAACACCACGTTCTAAATCACGAGCTTGTCCACCCTTGGGTGCACCGCCGAAGATGCAGGTGTTTCTTACATAGGACAGCGAGCCAAAGTCATTAGCTACTGTCTGAATTTGTTGAGCAAGTTCTCTGGTGGGAGCGAGAACAAGTGCAATGGGACCATCTCCACGGTTTAATGGTTGCTGGCTGTTGATATGAACAATAGCTGGCAGAATGTAGCCAAGGGTCTTGCCAGAGCCAGTTTGAGCTATGCCAACCATATTACGGCCGGACATAGCAATGGGCCATCCTTGAGCCTGAATAGCAGTAGGTTCCGAGAAACCTTGCTTGCGAATACCCTGCATAACGTAGTCGGGGAAGTTGCCCTCCTCAAAATACTGAATAGGATTTGGAATCTTCTCTCCTTTGAGAGTGATCTGCTTCTCTTCTCTGAAAATCTCAACCTCTTGAGGATGACGAGTCTGAACATTAGGATGTGGCACATAGAAATCCTTCTTGAATGGTTTCAGGCTTTCGTACTCCCAATTAGGTTTCCTTAGGTTACTGCCAGCGCCACCACCTCGTCCACCACGACCGCCGCCTCCCGCACCAGATCCTCCGCGACTTCCGAATCGACCCCCGGAAGCGCCGCCACCTCCACCCCCACCACCTCCGCCATATCCATTACGTTGACCTCCACTGGCACCGCGGTGTCCTGCACTGCTGTTACGATATCCACCGGTCGATGCTCCGTAAGTCCTGACACACATTGTTAAAAATTCAATCCGTTACAAAATGTGCCTAGTAATATTTCAATATTAAATAATTATTCGTAAAATAAATGTAGTGAACACCGAGGATGGGATCCAGACGTGATATGTGTGGACACCGAAGGCATAAGTTCACGACCGTTACTATTCCTCCCACAAGCATTCATGCTCCACCGAGGTACGGGGTGGAGGCATGCCAAAATGAGAGGTTTTCATTATAGTTAAACAAAAATTGTAATCCAAAGAATACAAAGATTTTCGACATTTCAAACTACAAGCAGCAGCTTGCCAGTGCCTAAAGTAACGCTCAACGCTTGACGCTCTCTAACAATATAAGATCCGCCATTTTGTGCAACTGTCACCTTAACAAGAAGACGCGAATTTTCTGATTAGCTTTTAACGCAAAGTTGCGTAACTTGATGGTTACATAATTGCCACGTATTCCTCGGCACTTTTATAAGAACATTATATACAATTAAATCACGGGTTGATTCACGATACAAATTATTCTGTCAATTGAAAATGTATATTTCAAAAAAGGAAGATCAATAAATTTCTTGTAGATATATTCTTTGTCATGAAATATGATGCAACGAAACTTCCGTGCGTCCTTATGCTTTTGATGAAGCATCGATCGATGTGCAAAGTAGCCATTTTGTGCCACGCTATGTTCTACTGCAATGGACAATATTCGAAAACAATTTCCAATCGACAAGGTATTGCGTAAATAATTTTAAAACGTTGTTACGAAGGAAAGGCATAATGATAAAAAATGATATTGGTAAATAAATTGAGCTTCAAGCAATGATTCACGTGTAATATTTCGTAAAGTGAAATCAACGTGAAACGAGGCACAATGGCCGTCATACGCGAAACCATTTTCTTCGCAAATATACTCTACCAAATAGGCCATGCTGTACGAGAATGTTGCCAGAGATAACGTTATCACGGTCAGACTTATTATAATTGTCTACGATGATAGTTACTAATCGATAATATCGCGCCTGCTCTTACACGTGCCTCAGACCCAGGGCCAAGGCCATAAAATGGCAGGAGCTCGAGAAGCCCTTAACAGAACGCGGACAAAGAATCGAGATTAGAAAAAAAAGTGACTGAAAAACCAAACCGTTCACCTATCACGGAAGAGAAAATACAAAGTTCTACTTACATATTTGATATCTAATGCTTCTGTCCCAGAAAATGATTTTCCAACAAGTCTTGCTTGCACCCAATTTAAAGCGGCTCTAGATTTCTGCAATAATAGATTACTTCCGTTAGTTCACCAGAGATTTCTCTAGTCTTTGTTTCCCGTTTGAGGATACAAAGAACCGTACTCGTGCGCAACGAAAACGGAAGAAACTCAAAGTAATTCAAGGAGCCACGAGAAACACAACTTACTTCGGCCGCTGCTAGGGACGGAAAGAGCGAGTAGCGGTGACGGCGGATGTGACTCGCCAAATGTCAGTACCCTGGTAACCATGGTGGGGGAAAAGACCTCGGCGCAGACCGTCTAACTTTGTTAACTGCGCAAGTTCCGGTGTACTAACGATTTTTCTTTCAAGCATGCCTTAAGGCTAGTTTCTATGCCTGGGATTGGACAGCTACTAGCAAATCTCTATGGCTGTCCTATTTTTTTCGTATCAATATGGCAGCCATTGGGACCAATTAGAATGCATACAAATATTGCTTACTCTAGTAGAACTCTGTTTTGTCTATTTTGACGCGTAAAGTTAAATATTGGAGATTTACTTGAACAATTGTTTAAATTCTAAATAAAAATGTACTCTTAGTCCTTCCTACGATTTTCTTTGTTTTATTTAAATCTGTCTAATCAGATCAATATATAATGTTGAATGCCGGGTTGCTGGGTGATACCTGTGTAAAGTATTTCGGTTTCTTCTTATTTTATGTCTAGCATGGCTTTCGTTCGTCTGAAGAACAAACGTCGGAATATTTTAGTTCCAATTTTAATTACTGTGCAAAGGTGTATCCTAAATTTACCTTAAATTGCCTATTCCAGAAGAAGCATAGATGCTAATGCATGAGAAACACTGTATTTCCAGTAAACCTCATTATCAGTGATTCTCATGGAACCTGCTGATTAATTCTTTGCCATGGAAAAGGGAGACGAGTTTTCTTTAGAAATATCTCATGTGAAAGATTGCCCAAGCTATTAATAATTAACAGACGAAATTTTCTTTAAGCAGATTCAGTTTCGATCTAACTCGAATTCCAGGGTAGAAGAATAACGAGAATTAATCATCTCTTTGATCCTACGTTCCAAGGAAAAGTGGATGAGAGCTCCGTTTATATTTATTCAAGGTTATAGACAGTACAGTGGTTCTCACGCATAGCAACAAATAAGTCTAGCTCTTTGGAATTGGATATGAAAAGTGCATAATATTTTGATTTTTTTCCTTTCTGAGTACTAAACTTTCCAGAACTTACATTAATATAATATGAAACATTGAAACTTCTTCTGAAGCTCGCAAGAGGTGATATGCTCTTCGCAATAGAATTTCCTCAAATGTAATTGATATTTGCATTTCTTGACTATCGATTGATATATGTTAACTAAGATTCCAGTCCTGCTAATAATTGTTTCTTCAGATGCATATACTCAAAACATTTAATACTGTCTCTAAATAATAAGTTACCATTACTGCACAGAAGGACGTCACAGAATATCAGCTTCTACAGGAACCTATCATAACATCTCCCAGAATAGACTTGCTGTATTGATTTTCCTGCAGCTACACAGTTATTACATAATGTGCTGAAGAGCATTATTATTATAGACCTTCGCTACACTTCTAATATGTACAGGAATCTGGATGCGCAAAGAAATATTTTTACCAAACATAACATACGTACTCTCATTGTGTGTTATGGCTAAATATAACTTATATTATGCACAATTAAAGGAACAGTTTAAGGAAAGGAAAGGAAAGGAAGTTAAAAGAAAGGAAAGTTTAACATAGTTGACTTTCCTGTCAATAAGGTACATTAGGTAAAATGAGTGGTACACAGTACAGTTACAATTGCAATATGTTTATTTTATTTTCTATCATAATACTGTATAACATACAAGAAATGCACTTTAGTGAAACCTACAGAAGAGAATCTGAATGTAGAGCAGTATCTTATATTGTTTATTTCTTATCGTTTGTCGTCCAACTGTCTTGCTTCCTGCGGTCTTAGTATTATTAACGAGTTTGTCTCCCCTCAAACCTCAAAAAAAAAGATAAATCGCGTTAACGAGTACTACCATAGGGCATTCAGTGTTACTCTTTTTTTTAAATTCTTTAAATGTATTCTTGAAAGGACGTTATTCATCTTTCTTTCTTTTCCTCTCAGCAAGGGATGCAGCAATATATTCATATTATCATACACACTACTAAATATCACTTTACTCCCTCAAATCATGTCATGGTCAAAAAATAAATACCGCCTCTTCAATAATAATAATTATCTCTCTATCGTTCGTACGTTCTCGCTCGTTTTCTCTCTCTCTCTCTCTCTCTCTTTCTCTTTTTATTTCTCTCTTTCAGGTAAAAACTAACGTCACTGGAATAAACATTCGGCTAACGACCAGGGAATAGCTTCTTAGTACTCTCTTTCATTTTTTTGTATTCAATCATCTCTATCATAAACTAGTATCAAATATAAAAACTTATATATGCCCGTCAAGTTCGCTCGCTCGCTTTACACAATATAATACCTCTTTTTTTTTTAATATTTATAATATCACTTCGTAACAGTTTGATTGTATTGAGCAATGTGCTGATGCTCAAAATAATATAAAGGCCCCTTGAAAAATCTACCGTTTCATTTATCGTCAGTGAAACCTCGTCGTATAAAAATGAAGCCTCTTGTTCTATTTCTTTCCTTCTCAAAAAAAGAGAAAAAAAAAAGGGAATTGAGCAGACACGACACACACGTTGTCCGCCGCGAAAGATCGTACGTCGATACTTATCGGTAGGTGAACAAAGGACAAAAAAAGAATACACGACGCACAGAAGAAAAAAAAAGAGAAGGTTTAAGATTTTCCTTTTCTTCTCGACGAGAGAATGAAAAATCAGTATATCGTACGACTGCGCTGTAAGGCTTAAGTGATATTATAACAATTTTGACTAGATTCTCATATATCGTTCCCGAGAATGTCTCTAAACATGGACGCCAAGAGGACCTTCTATTGCCACACCTAAATGTCGACATAGAGCCATATCGTGACATAACCTACAATAACCAAAATGATAAATCAGAAGTGCTTTTCCGGGCACACACGACAAAGAGAGAGAGAGTGGAACACTCGAAAAGTTGAATTAAAGTGAACGTAAAATTTATTTGAAATAACGATACGATCCTCTTAGCGCCATCTGCACGAGAACTTCGCGATCAGAGAATTACCGAATTCAACCGGAAGTCGATTAAATTTTTTTCTCCTCTTTCACCGGTAGAATTCAAAGTCACGCGCGCAAACGAGGAATATATTCGCACGTTGTAACCTCTATCTTTTATACCGTGTATTTGTCATGAGCGAAACAGATGTCCTACGACTCTCTCATTTACGACGACGGGTATTTCCTTATGGTATTTGCATTTTTTTCTTTATCTTTAGTAAGAGAAAAATCGAACAGACGAATTACAAAAAAAAAAAAAAGACTTAAACCACAAGAAAATGAACGTAGACGAAAAAAAAGACAAGCCAAAGAAAATAAAGGTTTCTCCGCCACACGAATATTAGAAAAGTGAAAACATACTAGGATCGTTAAGTCCTGAACAGTCCGAGCGACACAAGAGTTTCCTTTCTTCCTTTTTCATGTATTTTTCTTTTTCTCTGTTTCTACATATAATAATCGTGTAGTCCCCTTAAACGGTTGGAAAAATTCATTAAACACGGATCGGACAGTACATGTTAAGTAATAAAGACTAACACAGTAAGGGTATGCAGTGTCGCGTTTAAATAGATAAACACCTATTTACACTGTTATTCTCCAGTGATGTATTTTTAACATCTTTTTTCTTTTCTTTATGTTTATCCGTTATTTATACTCGCCCCTTTATACGTTTCGCACTCGTTTAACGAACGGAGCCAAATTGTATATTGTGCACGTTAAGATGTGTCGCAGAGTGTGTCACACGCACGAGAAAGGTAGGAGGTCAACGAGTACCGTGGTTATTCTCATTTCTAATAAACGTTATTAGTTCATACGATTTCATGAGTTTCGTTTTTTTTTTAATTTTTCATCTTTAGAAATTAATATCTCGAACTCTCGCTATACTTGATAGGTGATTGCCGTACCAGGTAAAAAAAATGAGGGACAACGGGTTGATCTCGTACGTGACAAAAAAGAAAATGAAAATCTAACCTGCGAGAAAACTCATCGAGAGACACGACAATACTGTGAAACTAGATTCATCTTTTTCTCTCGCATTTTATCGATTCCTCGTCAGTTCACTTTCCTTTTTCTCGACAGCCGATTGAACCCACGTAAAATCGCGTATCCGCGCAACAGGAGTTTGCGCGTTGAAATCGCATCGAACGAAGACAGCATAACCGAAAGAAAACCTTGTAAATCGAATCAACGCAAGGTATATACGTAAAACATCGCAACGATTAGTGAGAATTTTAAAAATCCTTTGATGTTACACTACCCGATTGTTCCCTCTTCAACTTGCGACATGAAAATTCGAACGTAGCGACGCTCGGCGTGATCGTACATTGTTCACAAAGTTCCACGTTCGATGAATACGCGTCCAAAAAAAAAAAAAAAAAAAACCAAAAACTGCATGCGCAATAAAAAAACCAATTCAAAAGACCGCGACTTCGTTGGTTTGAGCAATCGTTTGTAAACCGACCGTCACACCCTTGACCCACGATACTAAAACGTTAATTGCCGACAAATAAAAAAATATCCCAAAGATCTTCCCGGCATAGTCGGCAAGGAAATTCGCTCCACAGATCCGTCGGGCATCGCAACAGCAATGAGTCGATTATCCGTAGACGAAAAAATCCAACGATCGCGATTCATTGATCCTGAACTCAAAGAAAATTTCACGTTCCTCTCATACGTCGAATCCCTTTTTCCCAGTACATCCATTTCGCGTGTCCCCCCTTAACCTCCGGCCATTGTTCCATCCCGTTCTATTGAAAAACGTACAATACGACTGACGCGCACCCGTCGGATTTATATCGAACTAAGCAATAGTCATTTCAGCCACGTCCATCCGGGGACGGCATTATCCAATCATATAAAATATAGTATTGTAATTAATAATATACAAATAGGTATCAATTAGTGTACAGCATGTGAAACGTGTACCTGCGGCTGCTAAAAACTCGTATATAAATTGGCGAGAGATTCAGTCTTTGTATTAAAGGAGATAATATTCGTTAACATTACAATATGCGTATTTACGTTTACAATAATAAAAAGTTTATGTACGCGATATCACAGCGCTCAGCATTTATATATAGAAGGTACTCGGTATTTTAGCTTTTCACTTCTCCCTCTATCCGCCCCTCAATTACCTTCCCGAAAAACACATACCCCCTCCAACCCTCTCGCGTATCCACACCCCTCCCTTCTGTCTTGTACCAATCCCTTGGATCCGTCCCTACCCTCTCCCAACTCGCAGCAATATTTCGTCGAGCTTCTCACAACTTCACGAGAGTCGACCTTATATCGCCAGGGGCTTTCTTTTATTTTCTTTTAACTGAGGCGCGACATTCGCGCGTACCAATGACTTTTTACCAAAATGGAATATAGAGAGAGAAAAAAACAAACAAATTACAATAAACCCTTATCGAGACTCCAAGATCAAAAATCATTTGGGAATGGGGATATCAAGTATACTTTTAACGTCGACTGTACTTTTAAATTACCTTGGCGTACCGAAAGTGCGTATAGTGTGTATCAGTGTGTGTACATACGCGTGCCACTACCAGTTCGTACAGTGTTTAGCAAAGACCCAGAGTGAAAAAGACAACAACAAAAAAAGTCGAAAATAAATCTTTCCAAGAGACTCATCCTCGCGAACTTTTTTTTCCACAAAAAAAAAAGAGGATCTAGTTTCGATACGGGACATCGTGCGATACGATAATAACGTGCGCTTATCTAATGATTTTTAATCTCGAGTCCTCGACACTTCAGAGAATGACTGCGAGAAGGTACATCCGGAAAGCACGCCTATCTTTCTCATTGATTGGCGACACGACGGTATACATATATATATGGTAACGCTGTGTGTTGGTCGACAGTGTTTCAATAGTCTTTTTTTTTTCACCCAAGTTTCGTTTACTTTCTAAAATTGCGATCACCGCTCGACAGGTAGTTTTGTATCTTCGATCGATTACGTAGAAAAGAAAAAAAAATAATAATAATAATTCAAACATCGTCACCCTGTCTATCGTTATTCTAGCTCTCGTTGCTCGACACACCGACGACCCATAAATCACGCGCAACATACCTGACGAAATGCGCATCGATCAGCGTCATTGTAAAAAATTGGCAATTAGAAAATTAACTTTTTTTTTTCTTTTTTCGTCAACTGCTACATGACGTGATACACCTAAACACAGTTGGTGTACGATTAACAGAGAGAGAGTACCGGAAGGTGGCATATAATCGTTACCATCCGCAATAGTAGTAATAGTAGTAGTAATTAATAGTGTAGTAGTAATAATAATAATAATAGTAGTAGTATTATTAGTAGTAATAATAGTAGTAGTAATAGTATATACTATATATGTGTATATCCCCGTTTCTAGAATTAAAAAAAGAGGGAATACTCGCAAAAAAAAGAGACTGCTCTCGTCCCACAAAGTTGTCAGTTATTTTCATTTTCGCAATTTCTCTCTCTCTCTCTCTCTCTCTCTCGCAAAAATTACAAACAACTCGACAGCAGGTTCAGCAATATCATTGTGACAACGTGATATGACATGTATAACCATTCATATTATAATTTTTCATTACTTTTGTCCTAGTAACCAATGAGATACGTTTACTTTAATCGTATTACTTTTTTTCTTTTTCTCCTATTTTAACCATGATGCACGATAAGAGCAGTGGGTTCTATTAATACGCTACATCTTATATATCACAGAACTACGCGTACACCCACTATCAGCGTGAAAAAAGTTTTGAGATTATCGAAGGAGAATTAGCAATGAAAAAAAAAAAAAAAACAACAGATTACAGCAAGAAAAAAAATAACGCAGTATGTTATCGGAAAAAAAAAGGTTTCCCCCCCCCCTCGCACATCGCCATTTCCCGTTGTAATTTTCGTAATCAATTTTCTCAGGCGTACAATCGCGCGTTATCCGTTTTACTGTTAGCGCGAAATCGATCGATTAATTGAAAGCTTGAGTCATCTCCCGGGTGATATTTTTTTTTTATTATTTAATACAGCTGAACGTGGGGAACACGATTAATCCGTAGGGTGATAAGGAATTTACCGAGCCCTTTGCAAAAATCGGTGACAGTAGGTGTCCGTGTAACGAAACGCTAAATTTGACGAAAGAAGAGAATTTGTTTTCACATTTACACACATACATATATATATATACATATATATAGTACGAAAGCTCGCGTAATATTTATGCGTATCGCAAAGTATTTCTTGTCCTATGAACAATTTCCATAGTAGCGTTACGTGTTTTGTATGGAGTATACGCGAAGTTGGACTTTTATCGTGTGTACTGTGGCGTCACTTCAACATATATATATATATATCAATTAATAATTAGGCAATTAGGTTCGATAGAGGGCGTACGCAATGTGCAGGGAGCCTCCAGTTTCTGACAGTTATCGACGCTCTATATATGTGCCTCGATCTCCTCTATTGGCAACAGTTCTCGTCAATGAATACATAGACAAGTTCGGCCCTCAGTTCCTCGTTACCCTCGAGAAAGTTATTTCACGATAAGAAACGTTATCAGCCGTGATAATTTTTTTTTCGCGAATTTAACGTGTCAGGGAATAATCGCGGGTACCGTAAGAGATATACGTTAAAAAAAAAAGAAAATTTAAAATTTAAATATCCGTTACATATCAAACTACTTTATCGATATATTTTAATTACCGACCGAGTATCGATAACCACATTTAGCGTTTAGACGATCGAATTGTTTTATATTTCGTAAAGAGCATCGCGACTGGGACGCGCAGATGAATGACTTGACGTGCATTTTTTCCTTCCCCCCCTCCCCCCACCCTTAAATATATCACGAGCAAAACGAATGAACAAATGGAAAACTAAAATACAAAATCAATAAAGAATAGTATTCGCGCCTGAATTTTGCTTCGATACAATAAACCTTTATACGAATGTAAGACAAGAGTCACAGCTGCCTTTAGTACATATTATTCTTGACCGGTAATCGCGAAGTTCGATTTGAATTCGGCAGTTATAAGGCGCAACGTCACCGACGGGAAAAATATAAAAAGGACGAAAGAAAAAAAAACGCACTCAGTGACAGGGAATCGTTAAAATTTCGAAAAAAATTTGGCATCAGGACGAAGTTACTCGCGACCTGGAGGCTCACGAGATGCGTCGAAAACGCGCAAGAAGATGACTCGTTCGAATAGGTGAACCGAGCCGAGAAACCTAACATCTCTGACAGCGTAACAATTAACATTGAGAATTGGCAATTTTTGTTTTATATCGTAAATAAGAATTAAAAAGAAAGTTCGCTTTTTTTTCCCTTACATCTCGCAAAGAGACAATGTTTCGTTAGTGCGTGTACACGTATACGTAAGACGGTGGCGCGCACGGCTGCCTTAGCCTCGTGTGCAGGTAGTGTATATCTTATGCAGCTTATTAAACATTTATTTATATATAACAACCTAGACTCGTACTGTTACTAAAAGTAAAAGTGGTCAATTTCGACGCGAAACTATATTTAAAAAAAAAAAAATTAAAAAAGAAAAAAGAGACACAGGTACGATGGATTTTCGATCGCAGCCGGCCCCGCACTTCTCTTGGTTGGCCGTGGGGCGTGCGCAGCGAGGCGGCCACTCGGTGGCCAGTTGCATAAATATCAAACAACAATGTTTATATCATCATCATCATTATCATTCGTTGATCTAACAACAAATTACTTTTGATACAAAAATAAACTGAGCTTTGCTCTGAGATGCACAGCCATGTGACTACGCGTCCGATTTTACTTAGTTTCCCACCCACCCACCCACCCCTCAAAATACCATGCGAATGCCATTGAAGATTTATTTTATATTTTGTCTCATTTTTTTTCTTTTATTACCTTTACTTAATAATTCCACGATTTTTTTTCT